CCCCGCCCCAAAAAAAAAAGGAAAAAAAATCACTACCAGTTTTAAACTTTTTATTTTTCCTTGCGGTTTCATTTCTCTAATGTGGAATAAGGTATTGACTGACAGTTCCATTTTCTCCTTTTGTTTGCAGTCGATCAATGTAATGGATTATTCTTTACTTGTCGGGGTGGATACCCAGCAGCGGGAGCTTGTATGTGGGATTATTGATTATCTCAGGCAGTATACATGGGACAAACAACTTGAGACGTGGGTTAAGTCTTCATTGGTTGTTCCTAAGAATTTGTTGCCAACTGTTATTTCCCCAAAGGAGTATAAGAAAAGATTCAGAAAGTTTATGTCGGCTTACTTTTTGAGTGTCCCAGATCATTGGTGCTCACAGGAATCCTTTGACCCTTGTGAGCTTTGTGGCTCTGGAGATGATGATTTACCAGAATCCAAGTCCCTAAAGTAAGCATTCCTAAATGCTATATCTATCTAGGTCTTCTATTCCTCGTTTCTCATTTTATTTTCCTTGAATTAGCCCTTCATTTTTATAGCCAGTTGAAAAATTGCTGTGCACATATCCAACCCCGTTATCATGCAATTTTTAGCAAATTTCTGGAGATAGTTTTATTCCTATAGGTCTAGCATATCGGCGTTAATGTTCATTTTTTTGTACAGTCAAGTGAGGAATTGTAGAAAGCCGCGGTTATTGAAAGACAGATAATTTGATATCAATGAAAAGTTTCAACCACCGTTAATAGCATTTTGTCTTCTTGATGCCTTTTGTTTTATTTATTTGTTATTCTTCTGAATTTCTGCAAACAACAGCCTTTCTACGTTTTTAGTTGCTGCTATTACGAAATTCTTATCTTCCTAGCAGCCTCCCGTCTGTTCTTTACATTCGCGACAGGTTTAGAACGGCCACAGGAACCTTCAGGGGAATTTGGACATTCAATGGTGGAAGGAAGAAACCTTGCATTCCATCAGATTACAAGCTGAGATGGTCTGATCTCTTCCATGCATGTCTTCTTTCGTTGCTTTTTTAAGTGATGTTGCGGGCTTCTATTATGCATGAATTCCAAGGAAAGTCACTAGCAGTGTTCCTCTCGTGGTTGGCTAAGTGTTTTGTTTGTGGTGTTTCCCTCCAGGAGAAGGGGAATTGGGTATCCTTTCTCCTGAGAGAGGGAAGCAAGGAACTGTACATGTTGCGGGCTGCTATTATCCAATCTTAATATGAAACCCAATTTTTTTTAGTAAGGATATGGTTAGGTATTAAATTTTAGAGATAGGAATGAAATGTGTATTGTTTTAAATTTTTTATTGGGTATAAGTACGATAATGGATAATATAGGATCGTTCTATACTTGCATCTTATATATAAATATATAAAATAAATAAATTATTTATTTAATAATATAAATTTTATTTTATATTTATTAGAACTAATATATTTATATTTAAAATATATATATAATTACTTAAATATGCAAAATAAAAATAAAAAACTAAAAAAATAAATTTTATTTTTTAAAAAAGCCATGGATACGGAGATTATTCGTATTAATACTTACGAGAATAAAAATAATGATAAATTTGAAATATTCATCGAATATGAGTATAAAGATGAGTATAATATAAAAAATCAAAGGTGGAGATGCAGAATTCCTTGCAAATTGACGTCCCTGATTTTGAAAGATGTATATTTTGATTTCTTCATGCAAAAATAAATTGTAATTTCTTTTTTTTATAGAGTAAATGAAATTAGTTATTGCATATTTATATAGGGTTAAATACTTATTTGGTTTCTATATTATATTTTTTTTTTAAGTTTAGTACTTAAAAAAAATTATCAATCTGGTTTTCAATTTTTAATCTATCATCCACTTCGTCAATCAATTTATTGATGTGACATAAATATCTAATAAGATGTTAACACGTGATTGTAGACACTCATCTGTATCCGGAGTTAATTAGGTCGTTTATTATTTGTTATTATCTTTGTTAGTATTACATTACTATAGTATGATATTATATTATTATTATTATTATTATTATTATTATTATTATTATTATGGTATAGTATAGTATAGTATATTAGTATAATATTTATTATGCTATATTTCATTATTATTATTATTATTATTATTATTATTATTATTATTATTATTGTTATTGTTGTTGTTGTTATTATTATTATTATTATTATTATTATTATTATTATTTCATTTTCATTCTTCCCTCCTTAATCAGCAATCAAGGAAGCTAAAATCTGGAATTGAATTCAATCTAATCGGTCAAAGGGTCAATTAGAACCAAAATCAAGATATTTTTATTTAGTTCAGATAAATCAGAAAAGAACCTAAACCTAAATTTGGGTTCGGACAAAATCCAATCTCAATATTCAAGCTTGGATGGTTCTGTCTGTTTTCTAAAGATTCTCCTAAGGATGACTATAAATTGAACAACGAATCAAAGAAACAGAGACAATAGATAAGAGGAAAAAGACACAGTGTTTAAAATTTTAAAATTTTAGTTTGATGGAATTTTGAGTTTAGGTTTTAAGAATTCTGGGATTCTGGGTTTAAATTTGGGTTCCTTATATTAGAATTAAAATTCTGGAAGGTTTCTAAAGAAATCTAAGAAAATCTGAAAAAATTTGAGATTTTTTTTTGAAAACTCTGGGTTTTGGATGAATCTTTAAATTTTTTTGTTGAATTTTTTCAGAAACCAATGGGTTTTTCAGTTTTCGGTTAAATGTTTGAATTTTTTTTAAAGAGAGGTCAGAGAACTTTTCAGTTTAGAGAGAGAGCATAGGCGTTTGAGAAAAAAATAGAATGAGCTGACTTTTATAAGGCTCCAAAACGATGCCGTTTTACCAAGTCCAGATTCGACCCGATCACAGGTTTTTATTTTTTTATTTTATTTTATTTATTTTTATTTACTTTATATTTTGTAATTTTATTTTTAGTTTTTTATTTTACTGACTTTTATTATTTATTTATTTTTTGTTAAATAATTTTATAAAATTCTATTTAAAAAAAGAAAAAAAGGAGCAAAAAGAATAAATATAAAAATAAATATTTTCAAATAAATTCATAAATCTTACCAAATTATTGAAGAATTTTCATGGATTTTAAATTTTAAGGAATTCACCAAACTATTAAAAAATTTCATAAATCATTTTTAAAAAATTATAATAATAATTTTATCCTCCAAACTATTAGAGGATTGCTTCCAAAATTAAGTCTTACCAAACTATTAGAGACTTAATGAAATTCTTGAAATTTTTTTAAATTCATTTACAATAAAATCTCTCCAATCTATTAGGAGATTTGCTTTAAAGTAAATCTTACTAAACTATTAGAAGACTTTATTAATTTTTTTAAATAAAATACATTAATCAATCTGATGATGAAACCTCTTCAAAGTGAAACACTAGTCTTTATGAATACTCTCAAGGTGAGAGAATTATTTTAAACTGCTACAAATTATTAGGATAATTTTAAGGTTAATTCTCAATATTAAATATTTTGATAAAAGCATAAACAATTTTAAGGTTTGGATAATTTGTATTCAGGTTGGTACTATCTTTTGATGGGCGTTATAAGGGCACTATAATCTTTCTCACACATAACAGTATTTCTAAACCTAAAATTTGATTTCGTAAATCAGAATCTACTATTTAAAGATATTTAAGTCAATCTTAAGACTTATCTTTAAATGGAATAAAATTGATTAGGTGATCAATCACACTTAAACAAAAAAGATTTGTGGTGACTCTTATAAATCATGTCTAACGGTAGATCCACGAATCTATGCATTATGACAATAATAAATGAACAACTAATAAAACACTTACATTTGTCAAAAGTCTAATCAATGTCACATTATCAATTTCTATATCAGTATTAAAAATTCAAAAAATTAAAATTTTTTTTAAAAATATGAAATATTTAAAAAATTAAAAATATTTGAAATATTTTTTAAAAAATATTTTAAATGTTTTAAAAATAAAAATTTAGGAAAATTAAAAAAAATCTAAAAATTCTATAACCATGAATGACTGTTGGAATAATTTTCTACTTAATCTAACAAGTTATAAAAAAAATAAAGTTTAAATATGAAAAAAAATTCTTGATTTAAAATTGAATTATCATTCTTACTTTTATTATTTTATTGCAATGAATTAAATTTTTAATTAGATTTCATAGTCGTGTGGCACACATGATTAATTTTTGTTCAATTAAAAATTTAATTAAATAAAAATAAATATTGAAAAAATAGAAATAAATTGAGAGACTTGAAAGATAATTTAATTTATTTTTATATTAAAAAAACAAATAAAATAAAAAAGTACAAAAGCATACAACCATATTTTTGTTCAATTTTTTTTTGTTTTACCTAGTGTCTGATTTTAAATTATTTGAGGCGTATTTAATGTTAAAAAATTTCAATTCAAATCTTATAATATATATATATATATATATAGAGAGAGAGAGAGAGAGAGAGAGTCAATTGTTATTTTTTTAATCTTTTAATTAAAATTATAATTATTTTAAATCAAAATAATATTTTTAATTTTAATAATTTTGATAAAAAAAACCTGAAAATAATATATAGGAATTACATTAATATAAATAAACCTTTTTTAATAATATATAAACATAAAAATAGTATTTGTGTTGTACATAAATTTGAGCACACCGATAGAGCGAATTGCCAACAAGGATTCCCCACAAATATAAAAGAGTAAAAAATTATCTGAAATCTGCTAAACAGTTTTGATATTTCAACCATCATATCTTAAAAGTAAAATCTAAGTAACCATTATTTCCAGGAAAAACAGAACATGTAAATTGTAAACAAGTAATTTTGAAGGTCAACAACGGAAGTAGAACAACAAATAAATTTGCTCTGCCCAGTATATTCATGCATGATTGGTTTTTGAACAGTAACAATGTGACAGCAAATTCTATTAGGCTGAATCTTGAACACCCCCCCCCCCCCCTTCCCCTACTACTACTCTCTTTTATTTACCCACTTGCACGGATCCTTCTTTTTAAGTCTCCCAGTAACCAACAAGATAACAAGGAAAAAAACACTAGTACAACACAACTATCATTAAGCCCCTCAAACTTACCAAAACTGAAACCAACGGTTCCAGGTAATTTCACTTTCCTCAGATCTCAGCTTCTGTTTTTTTTTTCTTATGACAGCTTTGGTTTCAATTTTTGTATTAATTAGTATTTTGTTTTACTAATGTTTCTTATGTGGGGTTCTGTTGATTATAGCTTCATATATTTTTGTTTTTGTTTTTTTTTTTTATTGTTTGTGTTTTTCAGTTCTGAATATATGGTATTGGATTCATGGGAACCCAAAATAGGAAGGTTTTTAAGATGGGTTTCTACTTGTATCTCTTTTCATTGCCGTACAAGTGAAAAGGGTGGTCATTGAATTGTTTTGATATGGTTTTTTTAGGGTTTTGGGTCGTTTGTGGAAATGTTGGATATGGGATGTGCATGTTGAACAATAACTAAGGTATTTCAGCTTCTCTTTTAAAGAAATGAATTGGTCCTGTCTTGGATCATGAGTAAATTAAGCATAGTTTGATGGATATTGGTTGTAATAATGAATAGAAGCGACTGTTTTTGGTAATTTTCTGTCTTGTTACCGTTTGGGCAATTTTGTATCTCATGCACAAATTGGAGTTTTGTGTTTCACATATAAAGTTCGCTTGAGATTTGATGATAAATTTTTCGGAAGATAAGGCATTTCTTACTAGGGATGTTGTTGTATAAATACTGCAAAGCTAGCAATGTTGTCGGGCCATAAGTTGTCTGATACACTGTGTAGGTTTGCTGGAAAATCATGATGCACAAATAACTATATTCCCCTCCATTTATACTTTCAGCATGGTTGTGATTCTATCATGATCAGAGTCATTTCTATTTCTTTTTAAGAATCAGTGCAATAGATCCTTTAATTATTAGTATAATTTATATCAAGTGTACATGTGGACATATGAATGAGAAAAAAAGTTTTCCTAGTTCTTTGGTCAACTTCAAAGATTGTAACCTTGAAACTAAGAAAACAAGTTTTTTGTATATACCACTTATTTAGTATAGTATGGATTGATTCTCATGCACCATCAATAGAGCTGGGAATTACTACATGCCAATTTTGGTGGAAACACCTGCTGAGAAAGTATGCTTATTTGTTGCATTGTTTTGCTTGATGTTGGTTGGGACCAGGGGAGATCTTCAATTAAAGTCATTTACATAAAGGAAGATGGGCTCCGCCCACCAGAGCATCTTTAGGTATTTAAATTTGTTGCATATGTCAGTGAGTTTGATGCTTTTGTCTCTGATTCACAAAGAATGATGCACATTTAAGATGCTTTCTAGCATTTTTCATACCCAATTATGTGTGGGAAACATAAGAGATCTCTAGAAAGTAAATGGAAATTAGTGTGTTAATCAAGGGGAACTAGAAGATATAATGATGATGGTGGACTCACACATGCACAAATACAAACATAAGGAGATTGGTTCTTCCTGTTGGTTGTCCTCAGAAATTTTATGATGCTTGGCAATCTGCTTGTTAAGCATCATGAGTTTGTTAATGGAAAACCTTTTTGCAAATTCCACATTATCTTGTCCTCTGAGATGTGGTTCATCAAAGGTTAAAGTTAACATTTACCAATATAGCCTGTGGCAGAGAAAGTGAAAAGAGAGGGATGGTGGTATAGCATAAATGGTCTTAATTTTAGAATTCTAACTTTATATTCAGGAAAGAGCTAGCTTAATAAGTTGTCAAATCAGCAATGGTGAACCGAGAAATGTTTTGGTTTGTCTAGAATTTAAAAAATGAAGAATTGTTCACTGTTTTAGCTTGCTATTTGAATTTTGGATAATGTTGTGTTTTAAAGTTTAGTTGGTTCATGTAGTCATCCTTAAAAGGTGGCATCCAGCAGGTCTAAGATTCAAATCCTTGTATTTGCAACCTCTTACTATATCCCTAAGTAGCTTCCTATTGTTGAAAAAAAAAAAAAGCTTAAGTTCTAGTTGGAACTCTTCTCTTGCCTTTTTTGTTGGCTAATTGTTGATAAAAATTGCAGTAATTTCATCAAAGGCATACGTGATAAGAGTTATGCTTTTTGCTTTCATTCAATCAACGTGCCATAGGTTTTGATAAGTGAACAGGAATTCTCTGTGAAACCACTTTTTCTTTTTCTATTTTATTATTGCTAGATGCTAAGATTTGAACTTAAAGCATGCCCCAGTCCCATCCAGGTTTACAAATTTATCTTTTTTTCTTTTTTTTTTTTTTTCAGTTCAGGTCTAGCAAGCAACTTTCTTTCCCTTGTCTGTAACTTCAAATAATGGCTGAGGAACTTAAATAGAACATTGTGTAAATTTCTCTAAATGTTGTTTAAGAAAATACTGAATCATATGTACTGTTTACTTGCTAAATTACTCAAAAGAAACACTACATACCAAGGAGCCTTTCTTCATTGCATTGACTCTAGAATTCACAATGCTCTTGAAATGGTTTAAGATGTTTTTGCTTTTTAAGTTTCATGGTTTACAAAATGGACACTTTTCTGGTTTTATCTTTTTATATATCCTGCTTAATCAAGATTTAGAGTCTCCATGTTGGGCTCGACTTAGTTTTGGTGATCTTTTGCATCCCATATACAGCATGCTTAGACGTAATTTTTGAACACGCTTCTGAAGGCAAGGTGGTAAACAAAAATCAATGATCCATTCTTCCTGATGATTGTTAACGTAGAATGGTAGTCAGGTTTGGAGTTCCTTTTTGATTGATTAATTTGGTGTTGCTTGTTGTAGATGCTATATTTGCAATTTAAATGATAAGGCAATTGACTAGTAGCTTCTTTAGTCTTTCTATTCAAAAATTATTCTTTCTGCTGCTACACTTTTCGTTTCTTTTTTTGTTCATATAAAACTTAGCATCAATTTGTTGGGAGCCTTTTCAACAATGTACGATGAAAATATGCTATTTAATTTATGGAACATTTACGTTTTATCTTCTTACATTTGGTTGTACTATTGCAGGATATTAAGATAATCCCTAGCTTGAGGGTCTCCAAGACCAAAACATGAGTCTTGCATGTCTGGTGTGCCATAGTGTGGACAGTCCATCACATTCTTTTAGGAGTTACTCTGTTTCAAGTTCAGAAAACGAGGGAAGATGTTCAGCCATTGCTAACTGCTTGGCCCGGAAGTCATCTCTTCCAGCTGTGAGACCAACCATAACAACATCAACCTCCAAAGTGACCCCACAGCCAAATTTTCAAAACAGCGTTGGAATGACAGGTCCCCCACGGCTTGTGCGTAGTTGTGCCTTGAGGAGGGATCTTGTAAGAGACTGGAATTTTGAGGAGGTTGTAATGGAGCGCCAGCTTTTTTAGTTTTCGGTAGGAGAGTGTTGTATTTTGTATTAGTTTGGTGTTGGTGCAACTCAACTTGTTCTGCTACAACATTTGTAATAATCTGAGTAATTTATTCTTGAATGTGGAAAACATATCACATTTCCTTGCTCTTTTCTGCATTTTGGTACTGAATATTTTGGGTTATGGTGGAACCCAGCATGGAGTATCTTTTACGTCCCTTACGCCAGCAATAGCATGGAGTCTGACTTGAGTTGAGACCAGTTGTTGGTTTTCATTTTTATGATATGATTGATGATTGCTTAAAAAGATAGAATTTGAAATTTTCGATTTGGATTTGGATTTTATCTGTGAGAATAAAATGCAACATTCAATATAATTATATACAAAATATTTCACTTTCATTTGTCTGAACACACTTTATTTAAGTATTTTGGGGATTGTTTTTCCCAGGAAAACTTGTTCTACTCGTACCAAACAACCTCCTACTGTCGTAAGCTAACTGAAATACCCACACCCTGTCAAACAGGAATGAAAGTAAGACGTTAAAAGGAAACTAAAGAGCGAAGCAAAGCCAGAAAGAATGGCAATGAAAAGCAGCACAACAATAACAATAAAACCTCTGTTTCTCACGTTCACTCTCCTCTCCCTTCTCACCCTTTCTCTTTCCCTATTCTTCTTCACTTCCCCCACAAATTCCACTTCCCACAATACCCTCGTTTCCTTCCAAAACTCCATTAAAGTCTACGTAGCCAACCTTCCCAGATCACTCAACTATGGCTTACTCGAAAAATATTGGGTCTCCAATCACTTTGATTCTCGAATCCCCACCGATCCAGACCATGGGATTCACGACTACCCATATCTCCAAATCCACCATATACCCTTCTTATCCTGAGAATCCATTGATCAAGCAATACAGTGCGGAGTACTGGATCATGGGTGACTTGGAAACCCCTGAAGAAATGAGAAGTGGATCTTTTGCTAAAAGGGTTGTTGATGCTAATGAGGCTGATGTGGTTTTTGTACCTTTTTTGCTAACCTGAGTGCTGAGATGGAGTTGGGATCGGGAAGCGGCGCGTTTAAGAAGAAAGCTGGGAATGGAGATTACTTGAGGCAAAAGGAAGTGCTGGATTTTGTGAGGAATACTGATGCTTGGAAACGGTCTGGAGGACGGGATCATGTTTTTGTTCTTACCGGTAACATGCTTAATATCGATTTATATTTTTAAATCCATTTGCTTCTTGCATTGTTACTTTTTTTTCTTCCTAATTGATACATTATTGGTTCAAAGCGAATATTGTGACTGATTTTAGCATGACTGTTTTATATACAAGTAAATAACGAATTTTGTTCTCCCAAAGAAATTGCAATTTTAATTTTTAATTCTCGAAAAAAGGTAGTATTTGCCTTGATAGTAGGACGATTTTACTGTAAACTTTTTGCTTTTTACGTCTGTAACTGCAAAAAGCAAGTAGCAAAAATAACAATCAAACAGTAATTAGTCAGTAGTGTTTCTTACTTGGCACTTATTTCTGCTATTGTGGACTTGCAGCTGTAAACCTAAAGAGGGATTCTTTTGGTTTCCTTGATGCTTGTTCTTGGATGGATCAATTGTATGAGGCTGGAAAGGAAATTTATATTTCTTCATCAGTGGATTCCTAGTTAGTTAATCTTTAGCAGCCAGAAGAATATGGTTACAAGTGCTGATGTTGGAGGGGTGGTTAATCTGCTTGGATTTAGGGCAATATGTGGGATTTGTAACATGTTAAAGGAACAAACACTAATTTTCTGAAGAATGCTAAAATGATTTAAAATTGGAAGAGAGTTTAAACTGGCACCAGAATTTCCTTTCTGGATACCAACTTGTTCTTGGTTGGAGTAAGGCTCTCAATTAGTTTTAGGCTTCCTAAGATGACATCTTTTTATCCATCCTGGTATGGATGCATCATTCTAGTTGCTGTTCTTGTATTAGAGAGTGACAGTGTAGAAAATTAAGCCCGTCTCAAAATTGGTCATAAAAGAGAGATAAACTACATAGCAGAAGATGGAGATAGTTGTGTAGCATTCAGCTTGTTCAGAAAGGTGTGGCCTATTGCACAAGGATCTGGGATTGTTGAATTTATTTAGCTAGCTTTACGTTCTAAAGAATTAGTTTTAGGTATATATTGGTTGAAATCTGTGCAGTACTCTTTAGGCATTTTTTGTTTTGACTTAATTGCTCTCCCTGAGTATCAATGTAAGAGGGAATAAGAGAAATTAACTCAGGGGAGCTATTTTGTCATTGTAGCTTGAGGTTATGTACCATTTCTACCTCCTTTGTCTTCTATGGTTTAATTGTGTAATCCACTTTTTCTTTGTAATATTTTTCTTCCTATAGTTTTATTTTAATGGATTCTTCCTATGCTTCTAAGCACTGTATCGTCATTGACTCTTTACTTTGAAAACTATTGTCTCACGTAGGGTCACTTATACTTAAATATATCATTCCCTTGATATTAATTAGCTGTTCATTTAAGAATTTACTGATTTATTGATATTTTACCATCAGTTAAAAAAAAAAAAAAGGAAAAAAGTGGGAAATTATTCTGCATGCTTTACATCTTATGCTTTAGTCTCTGGATTGTCAGGTTATGTTAAACCTTGAAGCATTCTTTGACAGACCCAGTTGCAATGTGGCATTTCAGAGCGGAGATAGCCCCAGCTGTTCTACTGGTTGTGGATTTTGGTGGGTGGTATAGGCTTGATGCGAAATCATCCAGTCGTAACTCATCATATATGGTACATCACACCCAAGTTTCATTGCTTAAAGATGTGATTGTTCCATATACCCATCTGCTTCCGAGCCTGCAGTTAGCAGAAAACCAGAAACGACACACCCTCCATTTTAAGGGAGCTACAGGCATTGGGTTAGTATCTAACAAGCTAACAGTGGATCTAGCTGTACCATGTTTTTTCCCAGCATATCATCCTATAGATTAAAATTGGTTTACTTATGCTTTTATACCTTTTACTGTGTAATGAAGGATAATAATATTATTTTCCCTGTTGAATGGATACAGATCAACATTGAGCTGACTTGTTGAGAAGTTCAGGCTGGGGCTTTTATCACAGCTATTGCTAAAATCTTAATGTCTTTTCTCTGTTTGACTGTGTTGCTAATGTCAATAAAATATTCAGGGTGGCCTAGTTCGAGAAAAATTATGGGACATGTTGGTTAACGAACCGGGAGTTATTATGGAAGAAGGGTTCCTTAATGCCACTGGAAAAGAGCAGTCAATTAAGGGGATGAGATCATCAGAGTTCTGCTTGCACCCAGCTGGTGATACTCCGACTTCATGCCGACTTTTTGATGCTATCCAAAGTCTTTGTATACCCGTGATTGTCAGTGACAATATTGAGCTCCCCTTTGAAGGGATGGCGGATTACTCAACATTTTCAGTATTTGTGGCAGTTAGTGATGCATTGAGAACAAGTTGGCTTGTTTCTCATCTTACAAGCTTTTCCAAAAAACGTGGGGATGAATTCCGTCAAAATATGGCTAAGGTGCTGTCTGTTTCGTGTATGATAATGGCCTTCCAGGTGGTATTGGGCCAATTCCTCTTGATGGTGCTGTAAATCACATTTGGAGAAAGGTTCATCAAAAATTGCCAGCGATCAAGGAAGCCATTGTTCGAGAGAAAGGAAAACCAGCGAATACATCAATTCCTTTGCGATGTCATTGTACCTGAATGTAAGATTCTTTTCTTTTCTTCCCCCCCCCCCCCCCTACTTAATTCTTTTCCTTTTCAACTATGCATCTATGAAGCAGGGATATGGCATGGATACAATGATATTATGGTAAGTTTTAAAAAATAAAACACCAAGTATAACAAGACACGTAATAAAAAATTTTTATATTACAATAAACAATTTCAAGACGCAAGTATAACATACATTTCTCACTGTAAGCACAATTTCAAATGGAAAGCAAAAGGCACTACTGGCCTCTGTTAAACAAAATCAACCTGCATTTTAGATCACAAATTCAACGGGCCAGAAAGATTTGTCTTTGCCTTTCATAAGATTGATTGAAGTTTGTTTCTTCTACCCCGTTCTTGGCAATCCTGCTATGCTAAATCAATAAGAAATAAAGCTTTCAGCTATGTAGAACTAGCTGTAGATTTTTCAGTCGTAGATTTTGGAGCTTCACTCCCTCTGAAAGATTCGGTTATGTATAACTTTAAAAGACACTGTTATATATAATTTTAAAAGACTGAGCCATATGGTTGACTAAACAAAATGATTGGCATTCTCAACGTCTGCTTTCGATTTCTTCTACCCCTTATTAAAATGTTCAAGGTTTTCTCACCCTCATTCTTCCTTTCATGCACTGCCTTCAGCATTTTTGTGATCAGCAATTTGATCAACAATCGGTGATGATATTGCTGATCAACAATCAGTGATGATATGGAGAATTCCTTTGAATGACCAGGCCAAACTGTCCTAGGAATGAACCACTAAGTTCGCTTTGCACAGCCATGATAATTTTTTTTTCATATTTTATTTTTGTAATCAATCTAAATTTTTCGTATAAAAATGGAACTTTTATTTAAAAAAAAAAAAGAAAAAGTCAGTTCATGTAATAATTTTGTCTATGTAAGTAGTAATACAATAAAGATGTGTCTTAAATACCTTATTTAAGGAAAAAAATTTAAAAAAAATAAAAGCCCAAACTTGAGAATAAAGATTTCAAATCAACTTGGCATGGGAAAACTCCTAGGAAAATAATAGAGAAAGTAAAATGAAAATTTGGATTTTTTTTTTTTTTTTTTGGGTTAAGAGTGACAGAACGGTGAAAATGTAGGGTAAAATCTATAATAAACAAGTTCTCTTGATTTTCTTAAGGTAATTTTGTAAGGGATTTACACATGATAATTAAATTATCATGTTTGATATGCATTTAAAGATTTTACTTTGTAATAATTATAGATCATTGAGAGTGATAAATCAATGTCTTTGAGAGTGATTTAATTTTTATCCAAAAAATTGAAAAGTTTTTATTATGAAGGAAATGATGTATAAAATTAATAATAATTAATATTATTCATTTAATATATTAATTAAAAATTTATTTTTCTCAAATTGTAATTATTTATAGTATAAATTTTTATATTTCAAATTAATATTAATTGTAACAAGTTAAAAAATAATTATTGTTATTTCTTTTAACTTTTTTAATGTTATATATATGGAGTAATTTTTTTGTGATTTTAATAGATTAATTTTATTTTCTAACACTAATATTTTCTTACATAATTTATATTAAAAAATTCAATTTACCTATAAATAAATCGATTTTTTAATTTAATTATATTTTGTTATAAAGTAAATAAAATATTACTAATATTTTATAAATTAATATCTCTAAAAAATATTAAAATAATTATTTTATGTAATTATTGTAACATGTATGATTATTTTAATATTTTTAAATAAAATAATATTTAATTTTTAGTAATATAAAGAACATTAATCTTTAATTTTCAAAATCTAATAATTACTAATTAAATAAAATAATTTCAAATATCAGTAATAAGATAATTTCAATGATTAAATTATGATGGTAATCATGAAAATATACCTAAAAAAGAAAAAGAAAAAAGAAGGGGAAAAAATTATGGTGCTCCTCTCTCAGCCTCTTCCGATGAAAGAGCCCCATCCATCTCTATCTAAAAGCTATGGCCGCCATAAACTTTCTGTACAACGAGTGGCTCGGCAGCATTCTTTGACAACTCTGACCAAGTGAAGGCATCGAATTCCAACTTCAAATCAAACGCCGCTTGTTCTTGAAGATTTTTCAATCAAAATTTTCATTTAACCGAAGTTTCTGCAACCAGAACAGAAAGAACAAACATAGTCCATTGTTTCAAGCTGGAGGAGTGTATATTCAAACATGTGCACAAGACAAAAGAATTTAATCGAAAAAGGAAATATATTTCAAACTTGTTGCCCTGCCGTCTATTCAGTGAACTAAAATGCCAATTGCTAGTGCTGTAATAGATTTTAATAATCTGAATTTTCCTAATAAAAGAATACTAGTAAATTAATATATGGAAGAAAGCTAAGATTAATTTGATTTCAAAAAGATCAATTCTAGATTCAGATTAAATATACATTAATCAAAATAATCGAATCGAATTGATTATTCTTACTTTTAAAACTTGTTTTTATATGAAATAAAAACGTACTAAAATCTCATAAACTTGATGGAAATATTATGTATTTTGAAACATTAAGATAACTTATAGAAACTTCTTACAGTGACAAGCCATGTCCGATAGGGATAAATCAAAACAAACAATTCTATTGCATTGCTAGCTACAGACCTTCACCAGTGCATACTATTGAATATGAATCTTTTTTTTTTCTTTTTTGATGTGAGTGGAGAGGGAATTTTATCTAAAACATTTTCACAAAATGAGTTCCAATTTCATGGTTGGCTTGGTAGGGGGAGTCCCCAACTTTGACATTTAAACAAGAATTTTCCCAATAAGAAAAACAAACTGTCAAAATATTTTACTTTTCAATCTTATTCCTCAACACATAGAACAAGGCAAAAGCCAATCCTATCGTCCCACCTTCCGTGAATGACCAGCTGCAAACAAAAGTAGAATAAAAATAACCATACGGCATGAAAATTCAAATGACTATCCATTCCACACTATCTTCCCTCCTTTTTTAAACGAACCAACCTAACCATTCCATTACACCAAAAATGAACAACTTGAAACAAAGCAAAGAAAAAATGACCCCGCAATTCTTCTGTTTCTTCCTGTCCCTGGCAATTTTCCTCTCTCTTCAATCATCAGCCACAATCTTTTTAGGGGACACCCTCTACGCCTCAACCCCAAATCAATCATGGTCCTCACCCAATTCCACCTTTTCCATCTCCTTCATCGCCACAGGCTCCAATTCTTACATTGCCTCCATCACCTACTCTGGTGGAGTTCCAATTTGGACCGTAGGCAGCACTGTTGACTCCGGTGGGGCTCTCCAGTTACTCCCTAACGGAGCCTTACGCCTCACCAATGGCTCAGGCGCCAATCTCTGGGACTCTGGCACGGCCAACCGTGGGGTTTCTTACGCATCCCTGGAAGACTCAGGCGAACTTCGGCTACTCAACAATGCTAATCTCACAGTCTGGTCTTCTTTTGATAACCCCACTGATACCATCCTCCCATTGCAGAATTTCACTATTGGGAAGGTTCTGCAATCTGGTTTGTATTCCTTTTCTTTTCTAAGGTCGGGTAATCTAACTTTGAGATGGAATGAAACTGTAGTCTATTGGAATAAAGGATTGAATTTATCATTACATGCTAATTTAACTACGGCCAGATTAGTGTTGCATCCTATTGGAATCCTGTCAGTTTTTGATCCTTCATTGACTAATAGAGAAATTGTGGCTTATAGTAGTGATTATGCAGAAGGAAGTGATATTTTGAGGTTTTTGAGATTAGATAATGATGGGAATTTAAGGATTTATAGTTCAGTCAGGGGTAGTGGAACTATAACCATGAGATGGGCAGCTGTTTCTGATCAGTGTCAGGTTTTTGGTTACTGTGGAAATCTAGGAATTTGTGGTTACAACGGTTCAAACCCGAGTTGCGAGTGTCCATCGGAGGATTTCGAGCATGTTGATTTGAATGATAGAAGAAAAGGGTGTAGAAGGAAAGTTGAGATTGAGGATTGTCCAGGGAATAATACTACCATGCGGCCATTGGATCATTCCATGTTCTTGACTTATCCACCAGAGTCCCTTTCTCAGGCTTTCTTCTTGGGGATGTCAAGTTGTAGATTGAACTGCCTAGTGAGTCGATCTTGTGTTGCTTCCACTTCTTTGGTAGATGGATCAGGGTTATGTTACTTGAAAACATCAAGCTTTGTTAGTGGGTATCAGGTTCCAGTAATTCCTAGCACTTCTTATATCAAGGTTTGTGGTTCACAGGCATAATGTCCCCAGGAATTGGAAACGATGCGCCCTTTTTATTTTTTTTATTTTTTTCATGTTTCAATAATCAGATTTATTCGAGAAATTTTCATTTTTAATGCGTTGTATTTTGGGATCTTTATTATAAAGTTATAGTATTTGGTTCAATTTTATTTGTTTTTCTCCTGAAATTGTTATGCTAATATGTATTAAATAATAAAACTTTTAAGTACCCATGTTCATTTATCTTTTTCTTTTACAATTACTTTTGAATGATTAGCTTTTTTCAATTTTACTCTATTTTCAGTTTATTTCGAATCAAGGCATTATTTTTCTGTTTGGTTGGCAATGCAAATATTTGTTTTTCTATTATATCAAGGATAAAATATTTAAATTTAATTTTTTGAGTAAAAAAAAAAAAACATTAATAATTGAACCAAATATTCAAATAATTGTACTATTATTCTCCGATGCTTGAGCATGGGATGCTTATTCTGTTTGATCCTAAATGGAGTAACATTTTTTTTTTTTTTGCAAGGTAGGAAGATATAGGAGGTCTATTTGCATATGAAATTGCTTTCGTATTAGTTATGTGTGGAAATTTTAATTGTTATAATATGAAGAATTATTGGTTAAGCACTTTAGCAATAAATCTTAAATAAACATAGATATTACCCTATCATACAAGACCTTAAATACACATGATTTAATCATGAAAATGACCTAAAATATATCGTTTAACTATTGCAACTAGATTTGAAAACTAACTGAAATTGAAAATTAAAAACAAAAAAAAAAATAAAAAGAGTAAATTCCAAGTAAGCATTTCATCAAACACCTAAAATACTAACACGAAAACAACTAAAAAATACAACCTAACCTATATGGTAGCAAATGACATAAACAAGACTTAAATAATATCCTAAAAATGAAATTTTATAGGGTTGGAAATAGCCTAAACCAAACTAAAACAGTACCTAAAAAAAAGTGGCCTACCAATTAAACCTATGAGCTATAGTGCAAGAAAAAATAATATGAGATGCAAGGGAACATTAAAACAAGCATCATGACCATAAAATAGACTTAAAATGCAACAAAAATCCTATAGGAACCAACCCCTAAAAACCAAATAGAATGGGGGAAAAAATAGTGTTGAAAATGCATCATGAAAAATGAGAACAAAGTGGACCTTTCGATCTTAATGCTAGCATAACTGAAGGTACGTGCATGATATACTCAATCTAAGGGCATATCTTGAAAATAGACTTAAAAACAAACAAAAAATGCACAATGAGCATGTCCAATAACCAAACATAAATAGGTGAAAAACTAGGTTGAAAAAATTGCATGAAAATTAGAACAAAAAATGAGCTAAAATAGAGTCAAGCAATTTGTGACCCTTTAAATGATTTCTTAAGCTCAAAGTCACTTTAGGCTTTCATCTTCAACCCAAATCCAAACTCAAACAAAATAAACATGACAAAAATTTAAATGAAAATCGAACTCAACATAGTGAAAAAAAAAAAAAAAAAAACCCAACCAACAATGGTGAAAACAAAGTGACTAAAAACTAAAATTTCATTAACTTAAAGAGTAACAAAAGTGATTGAAATTTAAAAGGAAGCTTAAGACAAGTCAAATAGCTAAGAAAATAACTAAGAAACAAAGCTAAAAGAATGCTACAAGAGCTCAACTAGACTAGCAATGGCTACTATCTACTAAGTTGTTTCTAAGACAAAGAAAAGAACAAAGACAAAAAATACAAAAGGTGGCCTCCTACTTTTTGCTCTATAATATTATATTTAAAGGTCAAAACTAGGTTAACTTTAGCCAATCAATGGCTTTTAAAATACAACTCATCCTTCAAAATTTCAGCTTAAACATGGACTATTCGGGAAGTGGAAAAAAATAAAAAATGCTAAGGTTCTCTTGTCCATCTCATTTTTTTATCACGTGTGCTTCAAAGTATGGTCCAATGGGAGGATCCTAATTAGCCATGACCAATTTTTGAATCTTTTCAAGCTTCTAAACTATAGCTTTCTAAAACCTAATAGCATTGGGATTGCTCATGCACCATATTCCCATTTTCATGCATTCTACCTACATTTCATGTGCCATTACCATTCAAACTTATTTATCATTTGGATGCTTTATGTACCTTCTAATTTTTATAACAAAAAGCATCTCCAAAACCCCAAAAATTAGAAGCAACATAGAAAGAGAAATTCGGTACTATTGGGTAATAATTGGTAGTCCATGATTTGCTCTTTTTTGCATGAAGTTAATGGTTCTCAAGTGGTGATCCTTAAGCACTCTTGCCATCCAATATGAGAAAAGGAAAATTTCAAGTTATCTTTGTAGAATTAGGCCCAAAATTTCCTCCAAAACCATGACTTCCCAACCTTGGTAGAAATTGCATTCCATGCAGTTCATGCACATTTGATTCTACTTGAACACTCTAGGTAAGTGGCTTTGCATTAGCTTTTGGTCTTGGTAGCTTTTGCACCTCTTCCAAGCTTATTCAACATTTGAAATTCATCTTTTTCCTTTCCATGCAGCTCATGAATAGCCAGCTAGTTCAAATAGCCCCAAAATGTGCAGCTTTTGAAGCTAAATAAAATGCTCATTGCCTAGCCTTATAAAACGTGACTGCTTTGGGTGTTTGCTCTAGTTTTTGCTTTTAATTTCAGCCTATAAAATAAGCATTTAAATATCACCCAATGTGGCTTAAATTTGGCTTTAATTCAGCCCATTTTATAGCTTCAAAATTTGCAAGAATCTACCTTAAAAATAGCCTACAAATGACACTACTTACTAACCTCGTTTCTTCAAATCTTTGGCTAGCTTTTTGCATCAAATTTGATTTCCAAATTAGCTTTTAAATTTAGTCACTTGACTTTGAATTTGCTTTTTTAAATGTGTTTTCAATTTAATCTAGCTCAATCTTTTATTTTTTCTACAATTAGAACAATTAACACATTTAGGTAAAAAATTGATTAAATTAAGCAAAAATCAAGTATATAAGTGTTATAATTTAGCATAAAAACCTTATAATAATTTTATAAAAAAAAATAAAATTATCACCATCCCCCACATTTTTTAAAATACAATCAAATATTTTAAAAATCTTATGTGTAAAAGTAGGTATTAATCTTGATTTAAAATTTTCTCCTTAGTAATATCGTGTTGTTGGGCTAATTAGAATTGTATGATAAAACTATGTTTTTGAACTAACTATTTTATGTGATTACTCATGCACCAAATCACACATAAGCTTTCATACCTCAACAAATGTAGTTTAGTAATGCTTGAAACGTTTATGGTCATGTGTTTTGTATCTTTTCATAAGTGCTTCAAAACCATGCCCTTATTTCCTAAAAGTGGCACAACTTTCGCTTACATAGGTGAACCCTATTAGAAATGTCATAATATAACACATTTCAACACTATATTTGCATGTTATGGGTTTATTAAGAATTTAATTCATCCCCTAAATTGGATATACAATATTAAGTACTTTTCAGTTTTGGGATATATTTTTAAAAAATAAGTGCTTGTAGTCATATTCAAATGATGTAATTGGACTCATTAAAACTCAAGACTTAATGTCTAATTTAATCATTGAGTTAAGGTTCTATCATGTGTGATTTAGTTAATGGGCTTGAGTCTTATCCCTTGAGAAGTTTTAGGTATCATTTATTTTAAAAGTCTTTTTGTCAATGGATCCGTCAAATTTCCACTTGAATTAAGAAAGTCTATGGTGATCACCCTATCTTTGATTAGTTCCTATATATAATTATGTCTCAAACTAATGTGTCTTAACTTTCTATTATAGGTTTGGTTTTATGTCTTTGATAATGTATCTTCACTATATATTAAAGATATTGATTTTGGCTATAATGGAACTTCATATAATAAGTTTCATAATCATTTTGTCTCTTTATAAGCTAAAGTCAAAGCTATAAATTTTGAAATCATAGTAAAATCTATTATACAAGTTTATTTTGTAGATTCTTCAGGAAACTGCACCTCCAACAAACATGAATACCTATCATTTATGGATAAATGATTTTTGATATTTGTAATCCAATTTGCATCTGAGTAACCTTTTAAAACTAAAGGTTCTCCACTATAGATAATGCCATAGTCTATAATTTTCTTTAAATATTTCAAAACCTTTAAAATAACATTCTAATGCAAGTTACTTAAGTTACTTGTATGCTTACTAAGCTTGTTGATTGCAAAAGCTATGTTCAATTTAGTGCATGCCATAACATACATCAAACAACAAATGGTTTTGAATATTTTAATTATGCAATTAACATTCTTTTATATGGAGTTAACTTCAAATTGGAATTATATGACATAGTGACTGTTGCACCATCATAATGATTGAAACTTTTAAGAATCTTTTCTATGTAATATGTTTATGTAAGGATTAAATTATCATTTCTTCATATAATCCTTATTCCAAAAATCACATCCGCTACACCTTTTATCTTTCATGAAAAAGTTATTTGACAAGAATTTTTTTGTTCAATTTGTTCTAAGTTCGTACCAATGATTAAAATGTTATCCACATAGACATATGATGACACCTTTGTCATTTTTAAACTTACTATAGATACATTTGTCTAATTCATTAATCTTAAAATCATTAGCTAGAACAACTTCATCAAAATTTTGATATCATTGTTTAGGTGCTTGTTTAAATCCATATAATGTATTAATATGTTTACAAACTTTATTTTATTGTCATAAAACAACAAACCCTTCCAGTTATTTCATATATGCCTTATCATCCAATTCACCATTTAAGAATGTCATTTTAACATCCATTTGATGAATTTTTAATTTGTAGATAGAGGACAATGCAATAAGCATTCTTTTTGTAGTTATTATTTCTACTAGTGCATAGTTATTGAAATAATCTATATTATGCTTTTTTGTAAACTTTTTAGCAACCAACCCATTTTTGAACTTGTCTATAATACTATCCATTTTCATTTTTCATTTTTAAAATTTATTTGCAACCAATTGATTTGCAACCTAGTGGTAAATCCACTAGAATATAATATATTATTTCTCATAATTAAGTCTATTTCATCATTTATAGTTTCTTTTTAAAAAGCTAAATATTATCTTATCATATGCCATAAGATCTAATTTAATATTGAAAAACATTCAAACAATTAGTAAGTATTTCTCTTATTCCTTTAACTAGGAACATACAGAAAATTGAGCTTTTTTTTTGCTTTTTTACTTGTTTTAGGTACAAGGTTTTCTATTTCTTCTACTATAGAAGAGTTTATTAATTCATTTGAACTTTCTTGAACAATGTCATTAGATTTAGGTTTCATTTTAAACCTATTTTCATCAAATATAACATCACTTTTTTTAATTATCATATCAATACTTATTGAATCAGTAGATTCTATTATCATAAACCTATATGCCTTGTTATTTTATGCATAACCAATGAAAATGCACATTATTCTCTTTTCTCCTAACTCGTTTGAAAACTTTAACAATTGCTCTACAACCTCATACTTTAAGATAATTTAAGTTGAATTTTCTTTTCTTCCATAATTTTATATAGGGTAATCTTGTTTTTTTTTATTTGAAACTCTTTTTTTAATATGGCATGCAATAAGCAATGCTTCACCCCAAAAAATTTGTACTAAATTGAAATAGAACGATATGGCATTAACCATTTTGGTTAATTTCCTATTCTTTTTTTAGCTTCACTATTAAATTGTGGACTATAAGAAAGCAGTCAATTGATGAATTATACCTATTGATTCAAAGTAACTTGGATCACAATATTTAACTCTTCTATCGATTCTTAAAACTTTAATCTTAGCATCACAATGTAATTCAACCTCATTTTTTTAGATTTTAAATTTTTTAATCTTGATCCTTCATATGCATTAAGTGTACATAGCAATGTCTTAAGAAATCATATATAAAAGTGATGATATATTTCTTTCCTTTTATAGATTGAGTACAATACAAATCACATACATCATTATGAATTAATTCTAGCAACTTACTTCTTCTTTCTACCTTAAGAAATGAATTTCTAGTTATTTTGGTAAGTAGGCAAGTATGACCTTTTTTATTATTCATTTGCACATATGGAATCAAATTAGAATTGGAAATAGAAATTTCTAACCTTTTTTTATAATGTACATGTCCTAATTTAAAATGTCATAAATCAAAAGATTTAACCATATAACTAGGATCATTATTATTATTATTATTATTAATAAAAATTAGATATTATATTAAACTTGAATATATCCACATTTGTATATCATTTTCTTACAAAAAATATCATCTTTTGATAATACAAACTTGTCCCTTTCAAACACCAATTTGAAACCAAATTTGTTTAACAAGCTAACAGACATAAAATTTTTTTTAACTTTTAGTGCATACAGTACATTTGTAATGGTTAAAACCTTTTTAGAAGTGAACTCTAAATCTATAATACATTTGCCTTTGATCTCGATTGTTGAAGAGTTTTTTATGTAAATCATATTTCTTTTCTTTTTTCCTCTTAGAAAGACTTGAATATGACTTTGTCTGTGCATACATATATAATGCCTCGTAATCAATCCACCAAGTTTCTTTATCTTTAATCATTTTGATTTCAATTGTAAGAACAATATTTTTTTTGGTTGTATTAGATGTACTTATATTCTTTTTGAAAGTGTGGTAATCTTTTTTGAAGTGTCACTTCTTTTCACAATGAAAACATGCCTTTCTTCTTGGATTTTAAGTATTGTTGATGTGCTACTTTCTTTCTTATTTTAAGTAAACTTTCTTTCTTCCACCAAATGGACTTTAGAGATATATGCCTACTTTTTTTTGTCATTTTTTTCATAGTATTGTTCTTCAATTCAAAATGTGATACAAGCTCTTCAAAGGAGATATCTTTCTTTTTGTGCTTTAAGGTTCTTTTGAAATCATTCCAATTTAGAAGAACTTTAACAATGATGGATGATACAATGAAAGTTTTATTCATGTTCATTTTATATTGCTTGAACTTATTAAGAATGACTTCAAGTTTTACAAATTGTTCCATGACTAGTTTTGTATCAATCATTTTGAACATATTTTAATTAGTCACAAAGAGCTTTTTTCTAGTTGAATTCTTTTTCATGTATTTAACATTAAGTTTATCCCATAATTTTTTAATTGATGTGCAATTGATGTATGTATCAAAAAATGAATTGGACATACTATTTAGAATGCATTCCTTACATTTATAATAATTATTTACCTATATTTATCTTTCATGGATTTCAACACTTATTTCATCTTGTTTCTTTTTTGGTTTAGAAATAGAGAATGTAGGCTATGTTAAGAGTTGTGAGTAGAATATGCATATTTTGTTACAATTTTATAAATTTGCCTCCTTCATACTTTTTCAATATTTAGAAAGTGGTAACCATCTTTATAAGAGAATTTATCTTCTTTATCTTGAATTAATTGGTAAGATATAAGTCTAAAGATTATTGTTGATGTGTCTTTATGCGTTGATCCTAACTTGGAGAAATTTAAGAATGGAAAACCACACTTAAAAGATGAATTCTTTATGGTATGTTTTAGGAGTTACTTTCCTTTATACTTATTTGCTTTATCAATATTTAGGATGCAATATGGATAGTCAAATAGCCTAAGAGATACAATAAAAATTTTGTTAGAATTCACTTTGCTCTAATGAGATTCTAACCATTTAACACCCTTAAGAGAACTGAAAATATTAGCCTTAGGCTAAATTTTTTGCATCAAACTAAGTCTAAGTGACTTGTTTCTAATTTGAGAGTAAGAGGGAGAAGAATTATGATGATATGAATAGTATGTTCAAATGTGTTCCACACTTATCTATTTATAGAGATTTAATTCAAAAGTCATGTCCCTTTAATTGTGTTATTTCAATAAATAATTATGTTAATTAATCAAAAACACATTTTTCTATAAATTACAAACACTTTTTTTATGAGTGAACAGTCATTAAGTAAAAGATCATAAATAAATTGAATAGAAACTTAATTTTATCTGAAAGTTATAACTTTTGAACTAAAGTAGCTGACCGTTTCTTTGTAATTTTAAGTTCCAAAACATTACGTACATTAGGACAATTGAATCCTTTATAGATGCACTTGACTTCCCTAGAATTCCATAATGCTATTTGTCATAAACAGTGGACTCCATCATAGGGTAGTCTATTTCCTTGAATTTCAAAATGCTATTAACTTGAAAGTAATCAACTTCTTTTTAGACTTCTATGAACTTACATAATGTTTCAGTCTTGAGAGCAATTGACTCGAATTTATAATAGTTGATTATTCTTGTGTTTTTCTTGAAGTAGAAGACTTTTAATTTTAAGTAGTCGATTGCCTTTAGGTTAAGCAACCGACTGACTTGATTTTCAACCATGGTAGTCGATTATCTTATGATTAAGAATCAACTGTCCCTTATGATATGAACATGGTAGTCAACATTTTTAAGGTAATAGTCAATTGCCTTTAATGTAAGTATTTTTTATTCAACTGCTTTGATTTTGAAATTTTTTATTCTATGTAATAATTTAATTAAGTTATATTTTCACTTAATCTTTTCACTTATTTTGAAAATATCTCTAATAGAAAAATGAAACAAAAATCTCTTAAATATAGAAATGTTCAGACTTATTCGTAGATTGGACAGAAGGTTTAAATCCATTCATGAGTTTGGTTGGCTTGATTCGGAGTAGATTTTAGACAAAATTTTTAAAGTTTTGTTTGAAATATTATTTAATTAATAAAAATATTTTTTATTTGATTTAATTTTAATTAATTTTCATTAGGTTTTTTTAAATAATATAAAAAATGAAAGTACAATATACAAGTGAATTTTGCATGGTGACGATAAAAATGTAAAGGGATTAGGGTTCGTAATTTAACATAAATTCATCGGTTCTAATCCGATTTTATAGAATCTTTCTTTTTTAAATCGAGTTTCGGATTGAGTTAAAATTTTTTTTTAAAAAAATTGAGATTAAGTCAGAATCGAGTTTTAAGTAAACTCGTCCTATCCAATTTGGAATATATATAAAATATGTTTTATTATTTATTTAATTTTATATTTATATATTTTTTATATTTATTTAATTTTATATTTATATTTAAAAATAATATTTATATTAATTAATTAAATAGATTATATTTTTATGGATATGCGAATTGAATCGGATCAAATAAAAAAATAATATCTTAATATAAATTGAATTCGAATATTTATTATATAAAGTAAGATTAGATTTCACACTTATATGGTGAGATCTCTAAAAGGGGCGGTAAAATCTGCTTTGGGACCCAAGTTCTATTAACCGTCAGATGTACAACTGATGAGTAGCAACCTTTGGATGAAAATACAAAAGTGTTAGCATTCAGACGACTATTTCCCTTCCTTTCAACGCCGTTCCCAGTGTCTCCGCCCGGTTCCTTTTATCTCGCCTTTCTTATTCTCACATGGCCGCTGCTCCGATCCCTTCGGTTTAGGGCAAGCCCGACCCTGCAGGCAATCCGTTGAAGCAATCAGGTATCATTCTTCATTATTTTCATCTCTTTCCCCTTTCCCAACAAATGCATTAATTTTATAGGGTTAATTTTTTGAATATTGCCTTGTTTTTTTTGCCCTATGTTTCCTTCGATTGAGATCATTATCTTTTTAAAGAAAAAGAAAAAAAAAAGAGAACCCTCTTCTAAATGTATTGTTTGTAGTATATTCTCTTCTATCTTAGCAATTATCGTTCGATTGAAGTTTACGATAACAATTGTATTAAATTCTATGGCCTTCAATTTGAGCAGGCACTGCTGCATTTATACTAGATGAATAGAAGGAGGGGTTTTCGATGGCTGTCCAGCGTTAATGAAACCACTAGGGAGATATCTATGTTAGGTTCATCATTCCATTATCATGTTGTGAAGAAACATCTTTATGGTATTCTTGACCCAGCAAAGACTTGCATTCCTCATAATATTCAATCTCAAAGATGTTTGCAAGGACAACTTTTGCGGCAGGAATGTTTTGGGCATGGTGGAATGGTTTCTCAAGAAAGTTTGATCTCGGGAAGATATCTGTTTTGGAGATTCAACCTACCTTGCTCTTTTGGAGGAAATTCTCCTTGGTTGAAACAAAGTGGTGCTACGTATTGCCATTATGGAAACACGGATAACAATCTGAGTAGAAAATTTATTGCAAAGCTTTGGGTTGCAGACAGAAAAATGCTAAAGGATATTGAAAAAAGAAGAAGAAAAGCTAAGCACTTAAATTATGTTCTCCAACATCCATTAGGAAAAAGCTTTTCAGGCAGCAAAGTTACAGAAGAACAATCTAATGATCGAGCTACACCAATTTTCAAGCAACCACCAGTTAGCCAATCTGTGAAAGGTTTTCTACAGCCAACATCTACAGAGGAGGTAAATTTCATTGCTCTTCTTTTTTTTTATTTTTATTTTTATGGATTGGGTGAAGCGAGATTCGAACCCATCTCTTGGAGCAGGGGAATACATGCACCTACCATTAAGTCTAAGTTTAGATGCTAAATCTGTTCATTTTGTATTGTGTTAACTTGGCCTTCTTAAAAAGTTTCCCTTATGTATATATATGCCTTTGGCTAACTTTGTTATCTTTTTTAACCATTAAGTAAACTCTGCAAGGTGCACTAATCACTTTTGTGTTTTCTGGTGCCCATGAAAATGTAATGATGAACGTTCTGGTGTTATTTTTGTTTTGCACTCTTAGCACTTAGGGAAAGGAATTCCATAAGCAAAATAAAATGGAGAAAAAATGGTTCATAGGAGGTTAATAGGTGTAGGATATTTTCCTCTTCCACCAACTGATGTATGACAGATTTGGAGAATTGTGTCTACTTATGGTGTGAGTTTGTGGAAGTGGATTAGGAAGGGGTGGAGTGATTTTGCTATTCATGTTGCTCTTTCCTTTTGGTATGACATTTGGTGCGGCAATGTTTCTTTGAAGGACCATTTTCTATATCTCTTTCTTGGATGGAGAGAGACCCTTGCCGACGTTTGTTTGTCCATTTCCAATTGGAGATCTACTTGGAGATCTACTTGGAATTTTTTTTCTTTTCTCTTCAACAAGACATGCTCTTCTCCAGAGAAGATAGTACTAGATGGAGACTTAGTAGGAGAGGGTGTTTTGAGTGAAGTCCTATAGGTTATTAGGGGAGGAAAACTTAGGTAAGGAAATGGTAAGTTTTCCTTTAAAAGCAGCATGTAAAACAAAAAAGCTTTGACTAAAGTTGTCTTCTTTACTTGGGATGCATCTTGGGGAAGAATTTGAACCCGTGACAAAAAGAGAGGAAAGATCCTTTCAAATAGAGGTTTTCTGTCAAAGGCAGCAACATAAATGGTTTATTTAATCACTGTCTGTTTTTGAGTTGTTCCTTGGGCACAACAGCTCTAGCACTTACATTTGCTATGCTTGGTGTATTTCGGGTAGAGGCTACTACTGTTATAAGGACTTATGGGCTTGGAAGGGTGTACAAACATGTACCAATCAGAAAAGGTGAGGAACTCCCTCTCATTATTGTTTGGCTTTTGTGGAAGGAATGAATTCTGTGGAGGGAAGATTTACCCTTATCAAAGCTCTTGGATATATGCAGTATTCTTTATTTTGGTTTAATAGCTAGAGTTTTGTAAGTGCAAGATGCTTGCTTTAGACTTAATGGATCTTTTGCACTAAAACCTTTGGCTATTATGAATGTATGTAAATTTGGAATTCTGACTGATGTGGCTTGGGTTGGCATTTTTATCCAAATACCCATGTTAGACAAGACTTGGCATTGAGATGGGTATGGAATCTGTTTAAGATTCCTATCTGGATTGAGGAGATAATATCACAAATTGGGCCAAACTAGCACCTTAAAAAGAGCTTTCTTATTCGGTTTCCACACCCATTGCCTTCTTCTATTCCTCTTAAGGTATCCAACCCACACAACAAATGGAGACAATTTGTCACAATCAATTAAGTAAATGTGCATGAAAATCATGAAGAAGAAAGAGAGGATAGGGCATCATTGTGGGAAAACAAATTACAAAGAGAGAGGGATTAGCGTGTGATGTAGGGGCTTTGATATTTTAAAGGATATTGGGTTTAAATTTTGTTCATGTGATGGGCTCACTCCTAATATTGTAAAGATTGCCTACTTATTTGCTGGCTTGTATTGATGTCATTTTATTTTGTTTTCTTTGGCTCATTTCATATGTTGCTGCTTGAGTTTGCAAGTTCTGGTGCCCAATTTGATAAGTAAGAAGGAAAAAGCTACAGTTGATTTGTAACTCAATTTTAGTTTAGTGTTTTGAGCTGGTGAGGAGGTTGACTTGCTTTTCTGATTTTGTTTTTTGTTCAGAACCAAAACCAAAGTCAAAACTCTAATATTGTGGATACATCTGATAAAAAAAGGTTAAATTGCTAATATAGTAATGTTATGTCATGTCCTAGAAACCTTACCCCCATTTTAGACCTTTTTATAGGGCAGAGCATACGGTCAGTTTAGTTAATTCAGTTGTAAAAACCCGAAAACTGACAAAAGTGACTTCATCCATTGGAAAACTGAATTGACCGGTTAATAGGATGAAAATCGAAATTAACTGAACAGATGTAAGTTGGTCAGTTTGATCGGTTTTTAGAGTTTACTTTTAGAGTTTACTTTGCTCCAGTGAAAGCCAGAAACATATAAAAATGAAGGGTGCATCCAGTCTTATAGAGACTGCAAATCCCATTTTGATTTCAGCACAAAAATAATCAAATCATATTGTACTACAATTTATTCATTCTGAAACCAAAATTACAATCATGCAATCACTACATCAAAACAGAAGCAGTTAGATTAACAACGAGCTTTCTTCTTTCCAGCAATAGTAACCCTCTTACCCTTCAAAGTAGGAAAGTTGTTTTTCGTGTGCTGTCCTCTACAAGGCTAGCTCTGAATATGGTGGACCCCTCTATAGCACTGAATCTCCTTCAGTTTTCTTATATTAAGAGCATTGAACTGCCTCTGCAATACAAGGAAAAACAAATTGAAATTGCTTAGCAATGAATGTTCAAAGTCACAACACTTAAAAACCGGAAAAGCTCAAGTGTGAGAAAGTGACAAACCTGGATATGAGTAGTAGGAAGAACTTGGTGGCCAGTTGGTGAAGTTGATTTGTGAGTTGTGACTTGGCTGCTGAGTTTTGACTGTTGAAGCTTGAAATGGGAAGGGCAAAAGGTTAAAGGTGACTTGACAATCTTCAAACAGAACTGTCTGTCGATGGGCGTGCTGTGTTGTGGTGGCTTGGTGGGCTGGTCAGTCGTCATTGGTGGCTGCCGACTGTGAGAAGTGAGAGGACTGGTGGTTTCTGGTGTGAGAAGTCTGTGAGGAAAGGAGGGTTGAGTGGCAGAGAGGGTGCGAGGGAAATGAGATGAGAGTAGCTAGGACTTAGGAAATTAGGGTTTCAGTAAAAAGATAGAAAGGGTAAAATTAAAATAATTAAAATTAATAATATTTTTATTTATTGTAAATATTTAATTATTGAATTTCAGTTTTCTCAGTTGGTTAGGGTCTAAAAATTCAACACCAAAAACCGACTGTTAAAACCACCTAAACCTGAAGTCCTATCGATTTACCCTCCTAAACTGAAAAAACCCGAACTGATTTACTTAAACTGAGTGGTTTTTTGTCGGTTTAAACCGACTAATACTCTGCACTACCTATTTATGTTGCATCCCTGCATTTAAAAAAATTGAGCATTTTGTATTTCAGACACTTGGGTGTGTACCAACAAGATTTCTAATATCAAGTATAAGCATCATAGGTTCTAACAGCTTGAGTTCATAGCAGTTTGTGCATGTGAACAATGGTTGCGACGCAAAGTTCATGTGATTCTTAATTTTTATAATCAAAATGTCCTCATGGAAGATAAATTGGCTTGGATGTCAATGAAGCTTGGTATGTATTTATTGTGTTTTGAAATATTTATCACAAAACTTTATCTTATAACAAATTACCAGAAATAAGCAGGTTAGAGTTGTAACGTTACATTTGTTTTATTTTGCTTTTCATGATTGCTATTTTTAGAGGCTTTACCACCTACACATTCAAGAAATCAAATGACTTGTGCGTTGTTTCTTAAATTGTTCAGGCTCAAATTGCACCTCTTCTTGCTAGGTCCAATTTGCTAATCACCAGGGATATTGAGTGGGCAAATCTAGTACTTGGTATTGAGCAGGTAATTGTTGTTGTTTTTTTTTTTTTTTTAATTTCTTCTCCTATCAGTTAGTTTCTTCAATAGATATTAAAGCTCAACTTTTGCATTGCATGAGCATGTAGGCTGCCAATGAGTGCTTATTATTTAATTGTTTCTTATAGTAAGATGATTTATAAATCGACATGCATCTATGAATGCTGATATTTTTCCCTTGGTATTTTTTTGGCTCTGTGTTGATGGCAACTAAAGGAAGTTTCTAAATGCTTATTAAAAGCAAAGGAGGTTAATATTTGTTGTCTCCTAGCTGAGACAGAGTTTAGATATTATGTGGCTGATGATTTTCCGTACATGATGTTTCTTCTATGGTGGTCTTTGATATAAGCCTGATGTAGTTTAACAACCATACCTCACATGGACATAGTTTATGGTTCTAAATGCTGCATGAAATTCTTCTTTTGGATATTCCAGGAGAACTGATGCAGAAGAAGGAAGGGAAAGAGGGAGAAACTGGGATTAAAGAGGAAACAAAAGGAAAACTGGAATATAATCAAAAGAAGTTAGGAGGAATTAGTAACAGAAGATAGGGATAGGACAAAGAGAAGAAATCTTAATTCTCAAATATTAGTAAACTTGGAAACCCATAAAGCTCCTAGATACTGATGTATCATAGGCTCTTGTAGGCTATATTCTAAAATCTAAATCCTATTTTAAAGGCAAAATCCTAAGTGGAACCCTATAACACCCTAAATACTAGAAATTACAATAGAGTATGTAAATATAACAAAGTTAGTCATTAAAGTCATAAATAAGATAATTCTTAAATAGACTTTGTCTTGGTCTTTTGTTATTTTCTCCTTTTTGGATCAAACTTGACATGAATTTCAATCTTTGGGATAAGAAATTGCCAATGGAATTCCTGAACCACATTTTTGATAACATATTTCCTTAGTAGCAGTGATGAAGTCAATGGTTTTTGTTTGCCTCATCCTGAACTACACTAGGAAGGACAAAGTTGATGGAAAAACTGTCTCCAACTATGACATTATGTAAACCTTGTTTCTTGGACAGTCACCAATTTAGTTTCCCAATAATGAGCTCATTTTATGTATTTTAAGTTTTCTCAGCTTTAAAACCTAGTTATTGCTTGTCTAAGTCTTCATGGAGTTCATGTTGCAATTGCAGTTTTTTTCTTCTTCAGCTTGTCATCCTTCTTCCACATAGTTTTTGTGTTCTTCAATGTCAACAATAAAGAGTAGTTATTTGTGCATGAATTTTAACATCTTTACTTGTGAATTGCAACATCAATTCTAATTGGACCCTTGTTTGCAAGCTTGTTGAATGGACACCATTTAGACCTTTGTCTCAGTTTATGATATATGTGTTTTATCTCCATTTTTAAAGTGTTTTTTCACTTTAAAGTACGTAACTTTTAAGATCATGATACTTGCAAAGCACTCAAGGATGAAGATTCCTGAGGCCATCCTTATGTCTTAAAGAAACTGATTCATGCAAATTCATAGTGGCTTCATAAATATTATCTTATAAATTCTGAATTTGTTCAAATGTAATCATGTAAATATTTCTTAAATTGATCATAAACATATGATCTTTAGAGATTCAATTTCACAAAATGAACCTAAAATGTGGAATTAGGAAGTCAAATGAGGAGAGAGGATATCAGTCCTAAAATGCAGAGATGCTGTGCTGACTTGGTAGACGGTGTTGCTCAGATGATGCCCATAAATCAAACATAAGGAATAAGTAGCCAGTGGCTGGTGCGTGGTTGGAAGGTTTGGGACCTTCATGATGAGATTCATTGATTGATAGGTTGATGACTAGTCAAAGATCTGTGGTAGGGGCTTTCATTTCCAATGATCAAAAAAGCAGCTAATCTGAAAATTTCAGTTTTTTTTTTCTTTTGAGGTATAGGCTTTTTCATTTTTTCTATCATCTTAGTTTTTGTTTATGTGGGTTCTATAAATAATTGTCAGAAAAGATTGGTTGATGGAAAAATTTACAAAACCATCAATTGAGTAGGAAGCTAGATTGGATTGTTCTAATACCTAATTGATGTGAAACAAGAGAGAGAATTGGGGTGAAGGTAAAGATTGAAGAGAAATGGATGGAAACAGGGAATAATCTTGAGAAAGATATGCAGAGAAGAGGAAATTGAGGAAGTATGGGATAGAACTAAGAAGAGAAATCTTGATACTTTTCAAATCTCTTCAATCTCTGTAATCCATAATCCGAAATCTCATAGAAACTGAAATAACAAAGGCTTTTATAGCCATCATCCTAAACCCTAAAAAAAATCCAAATTACCAAATATAACTGTAAAGTTCCCCAAGTATTACAACTACAATGGAGCTCAGTAAACAACAAAGCAATCAAGTAAAGTGCTAAATAATTCAATTTTTTAATCTTCTTCTTTTTGTCCTTCATAATAACCATGTCAAATTTTAAAATGTTTGAACTTGGTGTTAGAATTGCAGCTTGTTGCTTGAAATAGTTGATTAGTTTGTTTTCTCTTACCATAGGCATTCTATCCCTCTATAATAATCGTTTTTAATTGAGTTTTAAGGCCATAGATTTCAATTTGCGTAATCTTGCATTTTTCATTCATTTGTTTGTTTTTTATCGAGTTATTTCTTGAAACTTCTCTGTTGAGTACTTCTAGTTAGTAGTGGTTGTTCAGCTCATTCCTATCATGGATGATTTGGCTGGGTAATCTGATGTTAGAAATCCATTTTTGTTATCTGTATCTTTCCTGAGCATGAATTGCTCATCTTCATTTTCTTTTTGGTTCCTTCTGCCTTTTACCTTTTTATTTGTTCTCTAATCATATTTGTTGGAATTGCAGGAGAACCGATATGCAATCGTGGATGTTTGCTATCCTCAGTCAGTAAGTCAATATTCTAAGATTCTTTTCTTCCATTTTTTGCCTAAAAAATTAATTTGGTAGTGAAATGACAAAATATTGTGCATCTTAAAAAATGAAAAAAATTATTGTGCACCTTAAATTCTTCTGAAATACGTGATTGTAATTTTTTTTTTCAGCCTGTTGGTTTTATTCGTGAACAGAGTAATGTCATTGCTAGACAGGTGAGCTAAATTAACCCAATGTTATCTTCATCCCCAATGATTTTGTTTGCTATTGAACATGGGTTCATCTGGTGTTCTTTGCTGTTATTTCATTTCATGTTTAAATTCTGATCAAGTTTGCTGGCAACTATTTGTAAGCTCAATTTGTAAGCTCAGACTAGTTTCTCCATTCTGTTGTTTCTGGCACATGCTTCCATTGTATTGTTTCATTATGCTCTTATGTGAATTCTGCAATTGTCTGTATAATTCTGTTCGCAGTACTTCTAAATTCATTTCATGGTTGTTTCTACCTTATTTTGTTGAACTTTGCCTCTTTGACATTTTTTTAACTATTTATTGGGCATTAAGAAGGAATGCCTCAAATTTGTGAAGCAAGGGAGAAAGTGTGTTTCTATAATTAGTTTAAGGTGGTTTTTGCAATTTACTCTCAAAGATATCTTCTCCTCTGAGTATGATTATTTTGGATTCTAATCCTGTACTGCTTACTTGTATCAAAATTGTTAAGAGTTGTGCTTCATTACATTGCATAGTCTAAATAGTTGTTATTATTTTCTTAACATATGTGTTTTGCAAACGGTTGATTGCTATGCTTTTGTGCAGTTGCTTCGCTTGAGGCGCCCTTTTGTTGCTTATATTACTGATGCCATGGGTAATGAGCTGTTCAGGGTAAGGGGATTATGTGCATTTGCTTTTGAGCTATGCAATAAGTTGTCAGGCCCTTAAATATTGAACATATTGCCATTTCAGCTTTAAGGCTTTGTTTTACCACCTTCAGGTTCATAGGCCTTTTTGGTGGATAACCAGCTCAATTTATGCAGAAATTGGCGGTAAGGTATGCAAATTTTCTATATCTTCATTGTACTTGTGTTTATTGAATTTTGGCACAGGGAGTCTTGTTTCAAGGATTTAAAGTGTCATTCCTTTGTAGGAAGTTGGTGTGGTTCACAGAAGGTGGCATCTTTGGAGGAGGGTGTATGATTTATATTTGGGGTAATCTCAACAAGCCATTTTCAATATTCAATAGTTGTTAAATCCTGTCAAGATTTGTTTGTTTACAAGTATCAGATTGTCTTAGTTCAAAACTCAATGGTTTGCTTATAGTCAATCCTGTCAAACAGTGTATGAAGTTTGTGGTATAAGTTTGTGTTAGTTTCCTGAAAAAGTTTGGTGGTTAGATACTCTTTCCAATTGCGCATATTTGATTTGTTAAACAGGAATATGCTTACATAAATACTACCAAATATGACCTATCCAGAAAAATGTAGCATCTACTTTAAAAAAATAGTGGATGGACTACTTGTTTGAAAGCAACGGATTATCTTCAGTCCTAGTGTTGGAATTACGGATCCTTATATAATTTTAAGTTTTAACGACTGATACAATCGATACAGTCAAAATTAGAGCCACCTTATAACATGGAGTAGATATATGAGTCTAGCAATAAATTTGATCAAACCAAGTGCCAGCTAGTGTTATGAAAATTTTCTTAGAAGTTAGAATTCCCATGGATTTGCAAGTTACAACTCAACCTTATTGGAAAAGCAATAATTTGAAATCTCTGAAGAGGCATCTAATTTTGACTGTGGAGTGTACCAATTTACTTTGCTTATTGTAGAGGCATAAGTTTTGTCTATTGTAATTACTCATGTACATAAATTGTACTTTTTTACTTGCGAGTGCATTGTAGCATGACATTAGCATTGTAGTTTACTTACCAAAGGGTTTACTGGCAGTGTCGTTGGGTTAGTCTCAGATATTAAGATATTGTAGAATTTTGGCTTGGTGGGCTCAGATAAGGTACTAGTTATGGAGCTCTTCTCCTTAACCTTTTCTTTACATGCTTGAATACCTCTTTGAGATATAACTCCTTCCCATACTTTTATTAGCAATGCCAAATAAATAGTCACCTCTTAGCAAACATAACTCACTTTACTATAGGATGAGCTGTCATTACCCCATTCACTGCATTAGTTCTACAAATAAGTGTTGCCTAACCTTATTCAGGAGCTTATACCTGCTTTTCTTCTTTGTTTGAAAAAGGTTAAGTGAAGTTATATCTGTTTTACATATATGAATGATATTGTTGTTTGGAACAGCTTTTGGCAGTACTATCACTGCTTGTATGATGTTTAAACTTTAACACTGGTATCATAGAATTTTCATAGGAACCCACAAAGTCTTCTCTCAAACTAGGTGAGACGTCAAAAATTATTGTTACACTCTTTGAATTAAGGGGAAGGTATAGAAGTGAAAGGGGATAGAGAGGAGGGGTATACACACCCTTGTTTCTGTAACTTTAATTGAGGGAAAAGAAGGCGTTCATATACCTCACCCCCTCTAAACTCTCATTCTTTGAATGTATATGATTTGTAATTAATTTTTTTAACTGTACTGATAATATCATCCTTTAAGTTTTTTCCTTTTAAATCATAAAGGGTATAACTGGAAAGAACAAGAGTTGGTTTTTCCTCTCTGTCCCAGCTCTTGACCCAACATCAAGCAAACAAGGTGTCTGATGTACTTATTTCTTCCTTTACCCTATTTTTCTTCTTATTTTCAATCCATCCATATTAGGTAAATTTTTCCCCTCATTCTTCATCTTCTCCTTTCTTTTCACTTCCTGTCTTTTTCCTATTGCTTGCTTTTTCCCAATGGTATGGTACAATAGTTTGGGTAGGACTACCTAGTTCTTTATTACAGTATGGATGTGTATATAATCCCTCTCACCCTTTGTTTATTTATTTATAATTTTTCCATTCAACATAATAGAATGTCCTTCCCAGCACCCCTTCCCCTTTTCCCCTGATAGAAAGGGTGTATTCTTTCCTCACTTTTCGTTAATTTTCTGGTTAATTGTTTTTTTGTAAGAGATATGAAATTTGAATCTACTGAACCTTTTCTTCCTCTTTATCTCTTAAAAGTTACATGCAGAGAAATTAGGTCTTCTGTATCTATCAGAGTTGTTGAACTACTAATACTTTGAGAATTCCATATGCATTCAATACTGCTTATTCAGAGCTCTAATCAAGGATAACGAGCAGTAACTTATTTTGTTTTAGTTAAATTTTATTTTTCATTCTAATGTTGCATTAAAATCTGACGTAATCTTTTTCGTAGGAATAAGCAATTTGCTGTGGTGGAAAATCCTGGCCTATGGAATTGGACCTTTACTTTGAAGGACATAGATGGACAAGTTCTGGCACAAATAGATCGTGACTGGAGGGGTTTTGGCTTTGAGGTTTTCACCTTTCTTTCAAAAATATCATTCTATTAATTCTCACTTTGATTCATGGGCCCTAGTTATTTTTTTTCATAGTTTTCCATGGTAAATATTGCTTATAAATTATTATGGTGAAATTCTGTTTAGCAGAGGTTCTATACTTTTATTAAAATTAATTTCCTTCTGTTTTGGAATTTCCCAACAAAACTTTACTGGTTCCTGCTAGAAAAAAAGAAACAGAAGAAATGGTAGGTTAAAAGAAGAACCCTCTGTCATATTTCTAAAACTCCTGGCCTGATTTGGGTTCTTTGAGTTGCTGGGACTGGCTTAATCAATCATAGTCCCTGAATTATGTTGCACATGCTATGTAACTTTTAAATACTTAAAATGAAAGACCCTACTATGTTCTATTTCAAAAGAGTTTCCTTAGGAATCAAATAATGAAATCAGCAAAGCTCTTATTAGGAGCAAAGTGGAGGATTTGAGATCGAAGAAGTTGTCGGAGCTTTACATGTCTGCTTTAGGAGCTTCTTTTCTAAGATTTTATCTCATATGGTGAGAGAGATGGTAATGGATGTCCAAAAGTTGAAGTGTGTTCAGACAATGAGGAACAATCAAGCAGTACAGGATTGTTTAAATTTGCTTTTTTTATGTCAAAGTGGGCAAAGGAGCCAAGCGAGATGAAGTAGAAGAAAGATGGGGATTAATCATTGTAGAAATCTGGTTTACATGTTTTGGAAGGGAGAGAAAGTGGATGTTGTGAGTTGTGTTAATACTCCTAGCAAGCTTGCATGCTGTTTGGTTCAACATTTTGCATTCCCCATTTTAGAAATATATATTGTGCTTTATACTTGTTGCTGTAAAATTGAAATTGTTAAGAGAGAAGTGTTTTAGTACTTTCTTTAATTTGTGAGATAATGCTGGAAGGCCCAATGCTAAATAAACTCGAAATTGGCTAGTGAAAACTGGTAGTTGTATTGACAATCAGTTTCTTTTTGCTTATGAATAGGATGATCTTGTTGTGCATTTCTAAGGGTCAGTTTTCTTGAAAGCCATGACCTATACGACACTCTCTCCCTCCCTGTTTCAAAAATCTGTTCATCCTTTTTTGATCGTCAATATTCAGTTCTTTTAGTCAATCATTATGGAAAGGATGGCTCAATAATCTTCTGTCTAAAAATATTTAACACAGCAATAAATGTTATCCTAATTTACCCTCCTTTTATTTTCCCTCCTCTCTTGAACTTTTATTTTAGTTTATTTTCCATTCTCAAGATTCTTATGGTCTTTTCTTTTCTCCATAAAGAACAAGTAGCCAAATGGTGGGTCTGCAAAAAGAAATCTTACTATATTTTCACTGTGAAGCACACAAATTGCTGCTATGCATTGAGCCTATGGCAATAAAGCCTGAAAATGAGGAAGGGTGACTGAAAATGTTCCATCAAATGTAGACAAAAGAATCTGAGCATATCAGTTGGTGTTACTTATTTTTGAGAAATTAAGGCAATTAGAGCATGGCTCTTTGTAGTTTATTCTCGCTGGGGTTGGGTTTATATCAACATTATAGGTTCTAATCTTGTATAATTCAGATGTATGAGGCCACAGTTTGATGTTATGAACGGGTTTATGCTAATGTTCTGGACTGTTTTCTAGCTAAGTTACATTTTATTACATGAGTTAAAATTCTTAGTTTTCTATTGTGCGTATCAAACCCAGTTAAGTAATTTCCGTATGTGCAGATCTTTACTGATGCTGGTCAGTATGTTATCCGCTTTGGGAGTACTGATCCCATCTCAAAGACTGGCCCTGCTAGCATGGTAATTACTGCATTAGAGATTGAAAGGTTTTCAGTCTTCTTTTGTTCACAAATTTGTTGATTGTGTTGCAGATCCAAGAGTTGGATGTAACCCGTCCACTGACTCTATCAGAGCGAGCTATTACTGTTGCTCTTGCTATTTCATTGGATAATGATTACTTCTCAAGGCATGGTGGCTGGTAAGAATCATTGTTAAAGTGATCAATGTTAATATAACATTTTCTCTGATGGAAGAAGAGAGCATGTAATTCTAAATCAAGAATTACCTACATGATTTGGGGGCTATCTGCTCCTATCTACTCTTCATTCTTAAATCTGTATGATATGTGTAGGCTGAGGTGTTTTGTGTGACAGTCATTTTCTGACACAATCAAACCAGACTGACTCTTTTGGGTACAGGGGCTCTACACTCCATCTCAAACCTAAGATGTCTGCCCAAATCCCACCTTTACCACTGGAGCTATGCCCAAGTGGCGACAAACCTGACAAAATTAATGTCCTTAACATGGAAATGTAATGATAAGTTACTTTTATTCTGAATGCAGAACATTGGATGGGAAAGCAATTAAGAAATTTAATTTTCATTGCATTTTTGATAGCTGACCCCCATTCAGTGAAAAGAATCGTTAGTTTGTGATTGTTTGCAGCCTTTTTGACTATAGTTGGTTGCACCCTTGATAGTTTTTCGTATTATAAGCGTAGAATGCGTGGGACGTCGGCAAATACTTTGATACAGACATTCATAGTTGTTTCATTTTCATGCTTTTGAAAATCAACTTGGATAATGGTGATTGTGTCAGTGAGGATAAACCAGCAGAAAGATAAAGATTGATTACTGATTATGCTTTTATTTGCTTGTCTACTAGGGGAATCCCTTTTGTGTATACGGGGGAGTAGATGTGAGCAAGAACTGGGCGAAGCAAAGCAACTTACTTGTATGCAGATTGCACAAGAATTAACTCAGTATGAAGTATGGACCACCTGTTGGAAGTTAATGCTTTATTATTTCATAAATGCAATATTTGTGATGTAGCCATCGTGGGTTTCATTGCTACCAACATACTCTTGAAAGCGATTGCTTTTTTCTGGTTGGCAAGATTATTAACATTAATAATAATAATAATAATAATAATAATATAACTGCTAAGTTGTTTCCTTTGATTACATCTAATGGTTGCAGAATTTCATGAAACAGTTTTTTTCTGGTGATTGAATCCTATTCTAAACTCTCTTTGGAGAAACAATCTGCTAAGACTTATAAATTCCATTTCAAGTAAGGCTGTCTATATAATTATAAATAATAATTATTTTCGATTTTTTATTCTTTACCTTTTAAAATTAAGTTGAAATCTTTTTAATTTCTTCCACTTTTATAATATTTGATAATAAGAGATATGTTTAAAGCTCAAATTATTCAGTTCAAATAAGTGATATATTAATAATAATCTATGTATTCTTTTGATTGAATAAATTGATGCATTTTAAAAATTTTTAAATTTAAAAAAAAAAGGGAATAAATTTTTGTTCCATATTCTTATAAAAAATTACAAAAATAATATTTAAATATTTTTTGATAGAATTATATTTAGATATTTAAAATTACACATGAGTGCTGAAGATTTTAAATTTATAGCTATATTTTTTGGATAAAATAGCAATGATTATTGTGGTTGCAAATAATTAACAGGAACTCATCTAAATAGTTACATTAATTTACTGATAACCAAATAAATATGCAGTAAATTTATAAAACCATAAAAATTATAGCTTTTTTTTTTCTTTGGGAATAATAATAAGCATTGGTGGGATGGTTCGAGTACAGTCCAGGAACAAGAAAGCCTTGCTCTTGCAACCAAACAGGAAGCCTTATCAACTTGCACTTATATAACTTGGAAAAGGGGAAGAAAAAGGAAAAGCAGGAAAAACAATGGGAAAGACGAAGAAAGAGCTGCTAAGTAAAGCGCCATGGAGAGGAGACGATCAAGACAACTCCAGCAAGTTCGCTGACGCCAAACTCAAGGTTACCAGCCAGCCTGGCTCCACCCCTGAAATGCATGTCCCTCGCCCAAAGTCCACTGATTCCCGCTTCGATGCCGACAACGATGACGATTCCCTTGAGATTGACCCCGAACTACGTTACAGCTTTCAGCGCAATTTTCAGGTTTCTTTTTTCTTCGATTACATTTGACAAGAAAAGAAACCCACTTGCAATTTTATAGAAGGCATCAATGTTATATTTGATGTGTCAGTTTTTCAGAATCTTCGGATAGACTAATTGTGTGATGAATTTATTTTTATGTTCAAACAGTTATGTATCAGTTAGAGATAAAATGAATGGAACAATCCTACTGCTGTCCTGACTGCACAAGGTTTAGGGTTGCATCCTATATGAAACAATACCCTAGAACTAGAAGAAGTTAAGAAAAAGCTCGCCTTTATATCTGAAAGAAAACGATGACCGTAATCTCCATAACATTCCAAACTGTTTGTGCAAAATGTTCACAAGTTAAGATTCTACAATCTCAGCCAATCTCTTGTATCAATTTCACAATTGCTTAATACTTTGACTGATGCAGCACAAAAGGTGTGAGAAATAATTGCATGCCTTAAAAAGATTACTGGAGTACGTGTCTGACACCACAGTTTTAGTCAAAGAATCTCATACAAGACAGTTTTTTTTATAACCATGGTGTGATAAAATCACATTATACATTGAACATGTAGACAAGAAGTAACCTCTTTTTTTCCCCCACTTTTGGTCTTCTTCAAGAGTATCTTCATAAACATTCCCGTTCTACCTCAAAAAGATACTTTTTATTCTTGGAGGGTGTTGTTAGACTCATGGACTTTATGGTCTGATCAGAAGATATCTGTAGTCTTGATCTCAATATGGTTTAGTGTGTTGAATTTTAAACTCCAGAGGCTAGTCAACAATTTGATTGAATACTGGATACAATTTAGATAAATTCGTTTATTTATGCATTGCATGCTCTACTCTTACTAGGGAAATAAAATGTTGGTTATACTTGTAATTGCATTGTTTCAGAACAAGAAATACAATCTGTTATTAACTGTGTTATATTTGCTGCCACAAAGTGATATGGACAACTAAGGCATAAACCAGTTGAGATGAAATTCCAAAAATTGGAATTATGGCCTTTATTTGATGTTAGACTAATTCAGGACCTTATTCGAGCTATAGTATATGTTAAGAATCATGTTGTTATGTTTTCATTAGCTAGACAGTTGTTACTTTTTCTTATTCTTTCTTTTCCTGAGTTTTAAATATTGGGCATTTGAATTGCAGGAAATTGCATATTTCAAGTCTAAGGATTTTACTTAAAGTTAACCTTATGTTACTATTTTTCTTTTCCTTTTTTTTAAAGTGTTTTAAGTGAAGTATGGATATTTCTTTTTTTTCAAAACTCCAGTCCTTACAGGATAAGATTAATTGAGCACTGCTAATAACCATGAAACTTCTTTAGATTAGAAGATAATGAGATAATAACAATTCCAGTTGTTATTCTTTCTTTTGGGTTGTGTGGAAGCAGTCCTGACCGATGGGCTGAGCCTTTGAGACCTTATGCATTAAGCCCTAAGAAATCTGAGTGAAGCCTACTTCTACTTTTAATGAAGGCCTGTTCTAGGTTAAAAACCAGCCTTAAATCCTTTGTAACCTAATAAGTCAATTTGATTTACCATCAAATTCAGTCTGAAAAACCTGATTCTCTATTTTTGATAGTGTTAGCAGGTGCCATTCATAGAATTGGAATAGCCCTTAATTGGTTTTTGAATTCCTGATTTCTGTCTGCTAATCATACTTAATTTCCATTACAAATATGACATTCTTCTCATACCATTCCATGCTTTTGAATTCATTAACCCTAAAATTTAGTCTCATTTTAGGGTTAGCCCTTTTCTTGTCAAGTTACTGTTGAACTACTTGGACTGGACTCATTCATTGCTGCATTCAAGTTGAGCACCTGTTAGGAGTTCTTCAATATCCTTGTCATGTGAAGACTAAAAATGCAACTTTGGTTAACTGTCCTTTACTTATACTTCTGAATGTTTCATTCTTGATTATGATGCAGCTGATTACATGGACCTGTTCATGCATTTGTCAGCATTGTGAAAAATTTGTTCATTTTTTTTTCTAGCAAATAGTAAAAGGCTTGGATTCAAAGAGTACTCAGATGCTTTTAATTAACACAATTTCGCAGCACAATCTTTTTGATGTTTTTGGACCAAAAGTGAACACTATCTGTTTAGTTTTATTTCCTTCTTATCTTGATCTTTTGACTGTAACTTAAAGCAACAGAAAATGAAATCATCAATAAGGAAAGAATTATCCTAAGTGAGATGATCTGAATAAAGTCTTATGGTCTAGCATTTATTGCTTGAAGTAGTCTCCAAATGCATTTTGCACAATGGACCTTGGTGTAAGCAAAAATGCAATTATCATAGAAGTTGACAGCAATAATTTTTTTTTTTTTTTGAGAATTTTGGTGTTAAAACTTAAAAGAATGATTGTGCTTGATAATTCTTACTATCACTGAATTAATGAATATATACTGCACTATATTCCTAATTACAGTTTGATGCTGTAGTCAAAACAAATAATAATTTGCTGCATGTCAAACTTCCATTATTGTAGCTGATGTGTCTAAATGCCATTGTCTACTTTTTACATGTCTTATCTGTGTCTTTATTGAAGGTAAATTGCATTCGGAGATATTTCTTGGCTACAATGAGATTCATTATTCACTCATCTTCAATAAGTATTCTAATACTTCGATGTTCATACAGTTTCTTCGACGAGTATTTAGCATAGACACTGTTGTGAAGCCTCTTCCACCTGCAATGGCATATAATGTTACCCGCAACTTGAGCTTCTTCACGCGCATATTCACTCAGTTCTTTGGTGAGTTTTGTGATTTGCTGATGGGTTATAGGTGGCTTAGAGATAGAACATGAATATCCATGAATTATGCAATGTATCAAGGTCGTGCAGGATTCCCATGCTTTTAGTCTATCTTTGTTGCACTCTGAGTAGAGATACATGCTATTTCAGGCCATATGGGTCTTGTCGAGACTTGATTCTTGCTCTTTTATCTACAAATGCGCCTTTTCCAAGTCAGAGTCTAATGTTTTTGACTGGTAGCTTGTTGCATAGTTTAGTTGCACACCTGAACATTGCAAATTTTATATTACTGTGCTAGAAGTTTTAATCAAGTGCAAATTCTAGCTAATAGTCACTCCATTAGCAGATCTGATTCTCATTATCTTTGCAATGGCTTAGAAATATCCTGCAGTAGATGGTTCTGTTTCTCTTTGAAGGCATGAACTCTTAGTAAACTTACGGTTTTCAGCTGGGTTACATCATAATTCTAACTTTTCTTGTTTCTTTTATTACAGATCCAGAGGGTATTGCAAATGCACAGAAATCACTTGGGTTGGGACAGGAAGAAAAGGCTCGTCGAGTCCGTTAAGAGACAAAAGCTCTAGCATGCACACAATCTTTGATATATTTAATTTGGTACATTTTGGATTTCAATTCATCTAGAATTGGTGGAATCTGAAACTCTAATTTATAATGTGATTCCATTTGTGTGGTAGAGTATCTTAAATCCATGACTAAGTGCAGAGATGTGGAAAATGTGACTCAACCTTTCTTCCAAATTTGTACAATTATTCCCAGTTAAATTGATTCCAATTGTCAAGTACTAGTAACCATGAAGTAGCCTCTAGTAACTGGTTATATTTTGCAGAAAAGTTGCAATGCGGAAGGTTTCATTTGAAGTCTTATTACTATACTTGCTAAGGACACATCAGAACCCTGCCAATGTCTTTTTCACGACCTACGGAAAATGCATATAGCTACTAAGGCACAAAACAAGGGAGGAGGAAATTAATGCATGTAGCTATGGTACTACATGGCTAATACTGTTATGAACTGTCAAATGCAGGGCAGAAATCACTGCTGCTCTCTGCATATGCATCTGTTGAACATTACTGGAGTCCAACAATTTTTTCAGCCAATAACAATGGCAGCCCATCTTTTTCCATTTTCGTTATACTCTTCCAACCATAAAGATGAAAATTCCTTTCCACCTTTTCATTTGGTTGGTTGCACCTTTGCATGATTGATAATCAGCGTCAGATTTATGCTTTGGATTAGGGTGTTCATTAATATCTTAAAAATTAAAAAATAAGAAAACTTGAAAGAAATTTTTTTTTGATTCTCTTAAAATTCATCGAACACTATTTTTTTAATATATTTGTCAACAAATTTTATAAGTGAATATCCAAAAAAATTTTGGATCCATCATTATTAATAATATAATTTTTTTAAATAAAAATCATAATTTAAGGATAAAAAAGAGATTGTAGATAATGAAATTAAAATTTTAGATTTATTGAGTATTACCTTTTAAGAATGGTTGTATAAATCAAATGAAGTATTGTCTCAATCGCTAAGAGAATGTCTCTAAATTTTGAGCATACAAATTCAAGTATATCAACATATATATATATGGCTTTTTTATTCAATTTTATTCTTTGATTTATCCAATTATATGTTGATTTATTAACTAATTCACCCTAAAATATTTCTGATTCATCCAAAAATACCTCAAATCTTTTTACTCAAATAGAATCTTCCTTTAATTCACATATTTTAGATTCATCCAGCCCATACTTCCTTCATCACTCAGATAAACTAAGGACATCGTCAGTCTTTACTTTGTTAATAGGTGAAAATTATTATTTTTGGAGTCAAGCCATGATAATATCTTTGAGTGCCAAAAAAAAAAAATTAAGTATTGTCAATGGAACTCTAACAAAACTAGATTCATCTTTTTCACTTTACTTGCTTTGAAATTGTTTCAATGATGTGGTCAAGTCTTGGATTCTCAATGCTGTCTTAAAGAAAATTGCATCTAATATCGTGTTCGAGTCCTTGACATTTGATATGTAGGTTGATTTGCGAGAAAGGTATGCATAATCAAACTCTCCATGAGTTTATGAACTTCGTTGTGATATTGCTATTACAATATAGAACAATGATAATATTAGTGCTTATTATACTAAATTAAAGTCATTATGGGATGAGCTTAGTGTGTGTCAGATTATACTGCCTTATAGTTGTGGCTTTTCCAAGGCACTCTATTATTATTAACAAGAAAAGAAATTGACAAAATTTCTCATGGGTCTAAATGAGTCTTATAGTAACATTCACAGACAGATTCTACTTATGGATCCTCTTCCTACCATTAAATGAGCTTATTTTCTACATCTTTAAAAAGAGAAACAACGTTAAGTCATTGCCATCCCTAGTGTCAATTCTAAAAGTGCTACTTTTGTTGTTTCCCATTAAAACTCTAATAAAGGCCCATCATATTTTCAAAATAGTTCCAAGCTTCTTCAAAGATCAGAGCCAACTTGTGATTATTGTAAATTGACAGGATGCAAAGAGTAAGTGTTACAAGTTGAATGGTTATCCTTTGGGCCATAAGTTTTATCACAGTTCTAAAGTATTATTAGATTCTAAACCTTAATGATCTAGTGATGCTAAGGTGGTTCACTCATTCAATATGGCATCATTAACAGTTGATCAAATTCAACAACTCCTTAGTATATTATCTAATGCCCATTCACATCAATCTAATTTTGTAGGTATAATTTCTCGTTATAATCCTCATGTTTGGATAGTAGACACAAGTGCATCAAATCACATTATCTTTGACAATTCCTTATTTTATTCTTACACTGATGCATCTCATATTTCATTTGTACAACTGTCAAATGGTTCTTTTGTCAAAGTTTCTCCTGTTGGTTCAATTTATTTTACTCCCATCTTATTATTAGAAAATGTTTTATTAATTCCTTATAACCTTCTTTCCATCAGCAAGTTAACTTCACAATTTTTTATTTTTATTGTCTTGTACATGGATCTATGGTTTTTTTTTTAGGACTCTATCATTTTTACTCTGAAAAGGTTGTGTCACATACTTGTTCAGTTTTTTTATCTTTCAATGATCAACGACATCTTTGTTAAGGGCATTTTTCATTTTCTAGATTATTGTATTGATAAAGTTCAATAATAACATTAAAGTTTCATGCTCTTAATGCTATTGTGACACTAGTCACATTGCTAAACAAAAATGTTTGCCTTTTTCTTTAAGCTCTTTTTCTACTTATGCACCTTTTGATCTTATTTATTATGACAATTAAGGAGTTTATTTTACACTACTCATTTAGATGCTTGACTTTTCTTAACCATTGTTGATGATATTTCAATAAGCACTTGGGTTTTTCTTATGCAACATAAATCAAAGGTCCCTTCCTTCATTAAACAATATTTTGCATATGCTAAAACCCAATACAATTATACCATTAAAGTACTTTGCATTGATAATTGACTTGAATTTTTCTTCAAAGAAATTACTTATTTTCTTAATGAACAAGGTGTGATCCATCAACACAGTTGTGTAGAAACTCCACAACAAAATAAGGTAGCTGAGCGTAAGCAATGACATATTTTAGAAGTTTCTAGAACCTTGAGATTTCAAGCAAACTTACCTTTTTTTGGATAGATTGTGTTCATACTGCTACATATCTCATTAATTGACTTATTACACGTCTGCTTCATAATAAAACTCCACATGAAATTCTTTTTGAAAAACCACCTTCCTATAATCATTTTAAAGTCATTGGTTTTCTTTGTTATGCCACCATGTTATCTTTTAATCGAGACAAATTTGGTGCATGTGCTAAATAATGCAATTTTGTTGGTTATTCTTTATATAAAAAAGGTATATATTATATGATTTACGAATACAAAAATACTTTGTTAGTAACGATGTTATTTTTTATGAAACATTTGTTCCTTTCCAATAAAAGAATAATAACACTCATACTAACAAAAACATTGTTTTATCCTTACCTGTAGCAAACACCAACCATTTTGGTTCCCATTTATAGGATACGTCTCTGATGGACATTTTTACCTCTTCATGTGTCACATTATATGATTCATTAGATTAACTATAGACCTTTTCATCTGTTTCTTTGTTAACATATTCTAATTCATCATTAGTCAATCCTTTCACAACCTTTGATCCACCAAATTGACCGCAACGAATTTATTATTTACCAACCTATCTCTAAGATTATAAATGCAACAACATTCATACTTAATCACTTCCATGGTCTTCTTCAAACTCAGGTACAAACTATCCTATTTCTAATTTTTTGTTGTAACAAAATTATCTTTATCTCATAATTCTTTTGTATCAAGCATTATTTTCATAATTGAGCATAAAACATATAGTGAGGCTGAATAGAGAGATGCCCTTAATGCTAAATTATAAGATTTGAAAGATAATAATAATACTTGGAGCATTGGTAACATATCTTGTGATAAAACTTTCAATGGATCTAAATGGGTCTTCAATATATTGTATAAATCAAAAGGTTTAGTTGAATGGTACAAAGTTAGAGTTGTAGCCAAGGGCTACACTTAAAAAAGAAGGTATTAATTTTTATGAGACTTTTGCATTGATTGCCAAAATGACTATTGTTCAATGCCTTTTAGCTATTACTTCTACCAAGAATTGGCTTTTGCATTAATTCAATATTCAAAATGCTTTTCTTCATGGTGATCTTGATGAGTAAGTCTACATGTCACTTCCACTTGGGTTTTTTTTGTGAGAACGAGCGTTTTGTTTGCAAGCTACATAAATCCTTATATGGTTTAAAGTGGGCATCATGATAATGGTTTGCAAATTTTTCTTTCATTATTTTATCTGATAGTTTGGTTCAATCTTGAGTTGGTTATTCCTTATTTACAATATCTTCTTCTAGTGGTTTCTTGGTAGTCTTAGTTTATATTGATGAGATTATTGTTACTAGAAGTAATCTTTGTCTTATTGAGTATTTCAAGACAGTGCTTCTCCGGCAATTTCATTTGAAAAATTTAGGCACTTTAAAGTATTTTCTTGGCTTAGAAGTTGCTTGTTCTAAATAAAAAATTTATTTATCTAAAAAAAAAATACATCATTGAACTTCTTTCTAACATGAGCTTTCTTGGAGCACAATCGTTTTATATATTTATGGAGCAACACACTAAGTTCTTTGCTTTAGAAAAAAAATTATTATTTTATCCATCTTAACATAGACATTTGATTAGTAGACTTATTTACTTGACTATTACAAGACCAAACATCACTTCTTCTGTCCACATTCTTAGTTAGTTTATGTGTCAACCACGAAAGCCACAAATAGATGTTACCTTTCGACTTGTTCGATATCTCAAATCATCTCCAAGATAAGAAATTCTTCTTTCATCAGCTCTTAATTTTTAACTTCAAGTATTCAATGATTTAAATTGGGCTAGTTGTTTAGCTACTCATCATTTTGTTACTGGTTTTATGCTTTACTTGATTTTTCATTAATTTTTTGGAAAACGAAGAAACAACATATTGTTTCATGTTTTTCTATTGAATCTGAATATTGTGTTATGGCTATAATAGATTGTGAGATACTTTGGCTTTAATATTTGTTTCATGATTTGGGTATCCAACAATGTAAACCAAAATTTCTTTATGGAAATAATAAGGTGGCTCTTCACATAGCTGCAAATCTTATTTATCATGAGTGAACTAAACACATAGAAGTTGACTATCATTTTATTTGTGAACAAATA